CACACACACGTACACATACATACTCATATATATATATATATATATAAATACAGTCGTGGTCAGAATTATTGGCACCCTTGGTAAATATGATTAAAAAAAACTGTGAAATATATATGCTATATCGTCCTAATGCACGGTGAGGAGGAGAGTTTGAGTGGCTAAAGACTCTCCAAGGACCACAGCTGGAGAATTGCAGAAAATAGTTGAGTCTCAGGGTCAGAAAACCTTTAAAAAAAAAAATCACACCTACACCGCATGTTGTTTGGGAGGGTTTCAAGAAAAATTCTCCTAGCTCATCCAAAAACAAACCCCAGCATATTCTGTTGTCAGACACGACTGGAACTTCAAATGGGACTGGCTTCTATGGTCAGATGTAACTAAAAAAATGAGCTTTTTAGCAACAAACACTCAAGATTGGTTTGGTGCACACAGGGATGAAAAGTACCCCATGTGTACAATGAAATATGCTGCTGTATTTTTAATGTTGCGGGCCTATATTTCTGCTGGAGGTCCTGGACATCTTTTTTAGATACATGGCATCTTTGATTCTATCAAATACCAACAGATAAAAAATAAAAAAGTGACTGACTCTGTTAGAAATCTTATAATGGGCCATGTTTGGATCTTCCAACCATACAATAATCCAAAAACAAACCTTAAAAACAACACAAAAATGGGTCACTGGGCACAAAACCAAGCTTCTGCTATGGCCATTCCAGTTCCCTGACCTGAACCCTATAGAAAATGAATGTGGTGAACAGAAGAGGAGAAGCAGCATCATGGAGCTGGGAATCTGAAGGGTCTGGAGAGATTCTGGACGAAGGAATTGTCTCTGATCTCTTTTCAGGTGCTCTCTAACCTCATCAGGCATTATAGGAGAAAACTCAGAGCTGTTATTATGCCAAATGGAGGTTTCAAAAAGCACTGAATAAAAGGGTGCCGTTAATTGTGTCCAATGTGTATTAGAGAAAAACATTTATGCCATAATGATTTCCCCCCATTTTAAATTCTTATTCTCCAATGAAAGGTTAGATTTATGTGAATTTTTAAAATAAAAGATCAAAATGATTAACAATGCAGATTTATTTTCACAGACTTCTTTGATCATATTTACCAAGGGTGCCAATAATTCTGACCACAACTGTACATTTGAACATTCTGTTATAATGCTACTCGGTCGTCACCTGTCTAATAAAATGCATAGCATATTAAAGCGTCTTTGGTGTTTCCATGTTTTCTACAAAACAAAACCGGAAATCGAGGGGTTATGACGTCATTGGCAGGCAACACAATGACACTATAGACACGGTCCGAGTCACTAGTTAAAATTGATGATTTCTCTGGATTTAAACATTCTTCGAAACATTTGGGATAAAGTACACAAGTCAGCAAAATATATAAAACTGTTCTAGTGGTTTTTGGATATTTGAATAAAAAAATCTTACATATTGTGCCTTTAAAACATGTAATGTAAAATAGATGTATAGGACTATTAAAAATCATTTTTGTTAATTGAAACAATCTGAAATAAAAAATATATATTAGATGAAATCAAAAACAAAAATTAAACTTAAAAAACTTTAATGGAAATTACAAAATTATTGCCTTGGCATCTAAGTAAAATGAAATAAGTTGAGATTGAAGTAAAAACACTAAAACGACAAACTAAAATAGAAATAAAGCTAAATATAAATATTTAAAAAAAACTAATAAAATGACAAAAGCACATAACATTACTAAAACAAACTAAAATTAAAATAAAAGCTGAAAATCAAAACAAAAGCTAAATGAAAATATTCATAAATTCTGTAATACTATACCAAATACAAAAATAACACTAGAATGAGAGACTGGGCTAGTTTAAAACTGTCTTAAATTAGAATAATTTTTGTGAATTCTCAAAACTAACATTTAAACATCATCATATTTATGCTCATATAGCTATCTGGATCGCAAGTGAACTGTATCTGTTTGATGAATGGGCAATAACAGTGAAAATGTGCATTAGCTTTTATTGTGTCAAAGACTAAGGCATGTGTCTTTCAAAAATAAGCCTACACTGAGAAATGTTATAACTAGCATCATTCTTGCCTTATAATATGTCCTTAATGGTAAAGTGGACTTTGGATGGAAAGAGCTGACAGTGATGTACAATATAACAGAAACACATAGCAAAAAATGTACAATATATACTGTATGTGCAACAATGCAGTCAACTAATCAGAGGGCAAAAATCATTTACAAAAAGATTTTTGCAAAACAATGTGTTACACATCTAGCAGTTGTGAACTAACCTTTCTCACAGTGCCGACCTGTGTAGCCGGCGGGACACACACAGTGGTTATTCACACAGCTGCCACCGTTCTGGCACTGAGAGGAGTCTCGACAGCTCTCCCTCACTATTTCACAACGGTCACCTGAGGAACAACAAGCAAGAAAATAAAAGGAAAATATGTAATAAATATGTATTAAACAACAATTATTAGAAATAAAATTTAGTGAAGAGGATTTTCAGAGCCTTAGCAAGCTAATCATAAACTTCAAGTACTACCATGATCAATATCAATACCAATTTTAAATACAAATGTTGTGTAATTTCTGAGAATAAAATGGGTAATTATACACATTTATCATTATATTATGAACATTAGGCACTACATTTTTTATTTAAATAAACTTAGCTAAATTAAGTTTCATTTAAACTAACAAATGCCAAACTTAAGCATACGCTTAAGCTATGCATTGTTTTTCGTGCTGATTGTTTTTCTACTTGACAGTTGGTTAAGCGACTTACCCTCGTATCCTTCAGAGCAGAGGCACTGGTACTCATACTCAGCACTGGCCATACAGGAGCCTCCGTGCAGACAAGGCCTGCGGTCACATGGGTTGCCATCTTTACACTGGCTGATGGCTCTGCTATCTATGAAGCTGTATGATAAATCCAACTTCTTTCCATTGATGAAGACCTGTACAGAAAAACAAAGCCAACACCAAACAATTTAATATTGAAACATGACTGTGGGGTGTAATGTACACAACACTTAGTGTGAAGGCCATTCTCACCTCTCCTATGCATCCATCAAAGAGCATGCTAACATTTGCGGGTTTGGGCAGGATGTCCATGCTGGGCACTCCTCCCAGATACATGGGTGTGTGGATATTAAGGCCCTGGGCCTTGCCTGGAGAAGACCTTGTGATCTCTCGTGCATGGTCCACCTTCAAGGAACCGTCCTTATTGAGCCGCTCAGCCACCACGCGATGCCACTGACCCAGAGACACGGGCTCCTGACTGCGCAGAACTGCTTGACCTGAGAGCGCGGAAAATAATGCATATTTAGCTTGGACAGGAAGGAATCAGGGCACTATTTTTTCTTCTGGGTTTTACTATTTGAAAGGTTACATTGCACTCAGGTGAGGAGGTACTTTTCACTTTGGTGTCAAATAACATTTTTTTGAAAGGTCAGGACCTTTTAAGGTGGGACAGTTCCATAACTATTTTTAAAGGGGTCACAACATTAGAGGTAAAAATCTATTTTTTAACAACTTTAGATAGATTAGGTTAACAATTATCTAACATAAAAGTAACCTATGCCCTGTCCCACATTTTTAGTCATTTTTAATTATATATATATATATATATATATAGACAGACAGACAGACAGACAGACAGACAGATAGATAGATAGATAAATTATAGCATTTCTTAAAAGCATAACTTGTATATAAGTTATAAGTTATTGCTATAAAATAATAAAACCACACAACTCAGGGCCTTGGTGTCCAAATTTAGGGCAAGATGGTTGTAAACATTGTATGAAATTAACAGAAAATAAGCCATTTCTTATTAATACAATATTTAGTCTGACCTCTCGAGGGTGATGATGACCATTTTCTGAAAATTAAGCACTCACTATTAGCGTTATTATTGTTAACTAAAACCAGAATAATTAAAAAAACATTTAAAATTAAATAAAAATTAAGTGAAATAAATTATTTAAAAATTTCAATAAATAATAATCAATAAAAATGTTTTTTTTTTAGCTACACCTAGTTTAAATACTAAATAAACTAATAACTAAAAACTAAAAATGACAAAAACACAACAAAATTATTAAAACTAACTAAAGAAAATATTTTTAAAAATCCAATACAAAATATTAACAAAGACTTAAAACTCAACAGATCTCTCACCTGTACCAAGTTCATATCGGAACTCAACATGTCCGTCCACCATGGATAACGTCACAAAGTCCTCCACTTTCATCTTTTTGCCACCGCTGAAGAACATCAGCCCATCAGAATCCATGGGCTTGAACTCCATCTCAATCCGGAGGTCGTAATGAATATTAGTAAGAGGAGGATATGCAATATAAGACTCGTCTCCATCAAACAATGGCGTTGTTACCAGAGTACCTGGGATTGTCACGAAGAGGAATAGTGAGAACCACATTCGACCTAAAAGAGCTTAGAAAATATACTGAACTTTACCATCCATGCACTTGTTTCCAGATTTGCCCAAGTGACAGCGGCAGTCGTAGCCCAAACTACTGGGTCGGTTAATACAGGTGGCATCTGGTCCACAGGCCTCTGTTGCAGTCATGGGCAAAAAGAATTATGAACAAAGTCGTCGATCAAGCTTGTTGTTTACAAATCCTAATCCTGATTTTACAAATGCTGACCTGTGTGACAGTGCCAGGAAGAGTGATGCTGACAGTTGCTTCCTGTGTATCCTCTCTGGCAACTGCATTTGTAGAGACTGGCTGTAGAGTCCTCACATATACCACCATTCTGAAACACACACACGACTTTTGAGCTGATCGATTTTCACAGGCCAAACACACAAAATGCACATCCTGGTACTTGGGACAAAGACTATTTGTCCACCTAAAATCATTGTGGTTGGTCCTGAGGACTAGCATTCAGATGCTACTGGTTTTGATTTTATTTTTCCTTCAGCAATTAAATTCACATATATTACTTTCAAAAGTGCCCAAATACTTTTTGGGGTCCCTGTGCGTACTAATTGAAAGAATTATTTTGTTTGTAGGGGATTACCTGACATGGGCGGTCCTTGCAAGTGGGACAATTCGAAACTCCAGTGGAGCTTTTATCAAAGTCCTTGAAAATGACCTCATCACCTTGGATAATCAGCTGCTTGATACAGCCTTGAAGAAAGACCAAAACACAGTGAAAGAAGACAATTGATAATAATGCTACAACTGATACTTTCCAACAAAATTCACATGGAACAGAATAACAAGGTTTTCTCACCAACAAACCCTGTCTTGAGGCCTGCAGTTTTAGCAAGCATGCTGTAGTTCGGATAACCGCCCACAAAAAGCTCCTCATTCAGATCCAGGCCCTTGAATTTTCCCTGCTCAGACACAGAACATGTTATACTACATTTGTTTAACTGCCACGATACTACCAATTAACACAGTTTATTGATAAGCATAACAAATCAGCATATTATGGAGAGAGGAATATGCACCTGTGAGGTCCCATTTATAGGAGCTTCTCCATCCACAACAAGAGAGCCCTGAGTCTGATTCCTATAGAGCTTCACTGTGTGAAACTCGCCCAGTTTAATGGGAGTAGGGTGACGAATAGTTGCCATACCAGAGCCCACATCAAACCTGTGGAAGGAAAATATGCACGTTTGGAACGTCACATCACAAACCCAAAGTTAAATCCAGTTTCAGACACAAAATGTTGCATCCTTGTGATTGCTTTGATATTTACGTTTAATGTACCTGAATTCAGGACGGCCACCCACCAACCCAAAAGATATGAAATCAGCGCCGGTGGTCTTCCTTTGTCCATTATAAAGAATCATACCTGGACATGAAGGAAAAAGTAAATCCAATGCCAGCATTCAGCTTACTTAACCAAACAGCTCGCCAGTGCACAAAGCCATTTTCTCTCTTTTTAAGCTGAAGGTAAAGCAGCATGCTGAGGGAAAATCTGCTGCCATGTTCAGCATTTTGCAAGCCACATGCCATGACTGGTACTGGTACTGTGTTGGATCACTGCTTGATTTCCAATATAAGATCCTGAAAAAAAACTTTTTGAGAACCACTGGTATAGAATATGCCCTCTGGGTTAGTCACTTTAATCAAGCTTGTCGAAACATAACCCTCCGTTTTTTTTTCATGTATGGATGCACAATATATGGGTTATGGGCAGATATTAGAAATTTTACATTTATTGGTAGGGCTGCACGATTTGGGGGGAAAAGTTCATTGGAATTTTTCTGATAAAAACTGTGATTGCAATTTTAAATAGAAATCCTGGTTTGCTGTGCTTGTTTGTACGGCTGCACAATTTAGTCAAAACTTTGTGATGATATAACCAGTGTTGGGAGTAACGCATTACAAAAGTAATAATATTACAGTAGTATATTACTTTTTGCTGTAACGCAGTAATATAACGCATTACTAATCAAATTTGGGTAATATTATTACTCGTTACAATCTCAGTAACGCAAGTTACAACAACGTATTTTAACTCAAAATTAAGTGGTGAATTTACTAACACCGCAAAACAGCACCAGAGATAACATGGATATAAAACAACAATAATAATAATATTTTTATATTTTTATTTAGGATTAATAATAATAATAATAATATTTACTACTACTACTACTACTACTACTAAATATAAAAAAACTAGAATATTACTATTATAAAAATGTAGTATTTATTTTACATTAAACTGTAAAAGTGCAATACTAATATTTATGGTTGTAACGTTAAACCATTAAACTTTTATTTTGACAGAAAACTGCAGAGAACTCTTAAAGCTTCTCTTTAAAATTACTGATTTTAATTTGGAGTTTTTTTAATTATTTAAAAAAAAAAAAAGTGTATAACTGTCATGACAGGGTGTAAAAGCTTCAGTCGCTCCATGATAACATTCCTGTATCATGCTGCAACCAACTCAGTGCCTTGATGAACACTATAATCTATTGTCATGCCTGCATATGTTCATAAGGGCCCTTCTAAGGGGCCAGTGAGAGATGCTGAGCTGCACTGCTCCATGCCATTAAAACATCTTGCAGCATGTGCTCTCTGGTACTCTCAGGCAAGCAAGCAGACTCACCGGCATACAAAATGAGCCCTTCATACCAAAGAGATGTGAAGGAGGGCAAAAAACAAAAAGAATAATTGAGTTTACATACAGGAATACACATATAAAAGAAACTGTACAAGGACTGAACATTTTAGAAACAATGTGCTCTTCACATAGTACATGCAATACTGCCAATTTATTTTAAAGGGACAGTTCAGATAAAAATTGTATCATCATTAACTGCAACTCATGATGTTTCACACCTGTATGGCTTTCTTTCTTCTGAGGAACAAACAATTAGACATTCTGAAGAAAAAACAGGTGATTTCCATTAAATGAGGAAATCAATATGGAATGAGTCAATATGGAAAAGACCTGCAAGAAGATTCTTCAAAATATCAAATTTTCTGTTGCACAGAAGAAAGTAAGTCATACAAGTTTCAAACAAAATTAGAGTGAGTAAATAAGAACAATTTTCATTTTTGGGTGAACTGTCCACTTCAAAAGGATAAACATTCCTTTTTTTCCCAGTAATGACAAACTTATAAACAAAGTCAAAACTGCATATTTAGAACTGCTTTGGTTCAGTGAAGTATCTGGAAGTTTTGAGGGTACTTACCATCAACATTGTCCGGCCTGAAGGTAATTTTGATGATGAATGCTTTGTAGGGGTTTTTGATAGTGGGGAGTGTGAGGTACGAGAGTGGTTCCTGGGTAAAATAGGGCATCACTCTCTCTGGAGGACCACAAGAACATGAATAAATGTTAGAGAGACAAGTAGGACATCACAGAAACTCTTCAGAAGAATAAACAGCTCATGAAAAACATGTCTTGGTGGTGGTAGCATTAGAGTTAAGGATGTTTCCAAATCTCCAAGCTATAAGACATCTAAAAAGCAGCATTTCGTAAGTCACTTTAGATTAAAAAAAAATCTGTTGACATTTAACCAGATCCTGTGTAGATTTTTAAGCAGAACTATACTTGTCAAACAATCCAGATGAAATCAGTGCACTCATCACAAAGCCACAATTACAGACAAGCAGCATTGTGACTTGACCTACACTGGAAAAAAATATGTAAGTACAAACAGAACGGACTTGCATACAGACCATGAACAACGAGTCTGGTGAAGGCCTCAACTTTCCCTTGTTTATTAGCAGCTGTACATGCATATGTTCCTGCATCTGAGTGTGTGACACCAGGGACTGTCAAGACATGTCCATCTTGTCTGCACTTAGGGGGTAACTCATTCTCCACCTGAAAGAAGAGCACAAACGAGCTTAACATTTATTTTCTGAAGTGAATATTTAGTTCTCTAAACAGGACTGAAAACTGTAATATGCTGCTGTGTGAACATATAGTACCATAGAATGTTGGCCTTCTGAATTAGGGCAAATTTAGCCATGAAACATAAAGGTTACCTTTGACCATGTGATGGTTGGGACTGGGTATCCAGACGCAATGCAAGGCAAGACCGCATCAGAGCCAACTGTTACTTCCTTTGACTCAGGCTGTGCAGAAATCTGAGGCAAGGCTACAAAGTACATAATTTTTAGGAATCAAATGTCAGTTATATTTATGAGACGCTATTTGTAGAAGACTTTGAGCTTGACGTCTTTAAGGTGTCACATAATACAAATAAAAACCAATGGCAAAAAAAATCCGTCCTGGATATAACAATGTACTCACACTGGATATTAAGGACCACCTGGTTATACTCCGAGCCAACATTATTAGTGGCGGTGCAGCGGTACTGTCCTGAATCTGATTCGACCACATGATCTATCCTCAGGATGTTCCCCCTTATCTCCACATGATCTGGAAGAGAGCCTCCCATTTTACTCCAGCGCACCGTGGGCTCAGGATCACCGATCGCATGACACTCAAACTCCACTGAGTTGCCCACCATCACCGTCTGTACTGGTGTGCGCACGTTGATCATCACTTTGGGTAGAGCTGCGAAGCCAAAGAGCACAGTCATTAGTTTTAAAGTTTAGTAACTCAAGATTTGGAAACAAATTGCAATTTGGATATCATAAGGGACCTTGAATGGTGAGTTTGCCACTGTCCTGAGCCTGTCCAAACAGACTTGTAGCTCTGCAGGTGTAGATTCCCTCATTGCTTTGCTCAAGGTTCTCGATCCTGCACAAATAGTAACAAAGGTTATGAAGGAAGGACACACAGCATAACTCAAAGCATTAGGGGCACAACTATTATGTATTTTATTATTTAAAAAAGTAGTATGTATCAGAAAACATTATTTAACTGAAATACAATTTATAAATAATTAATTGTAGTAAAATATAGGTAATTGAAGTTTGTGTAAGAAAAATGATTAAAAAATATTTTTAATCATGTTAAGCGAAATATAAACTATAGTAGTTTTTCTGAAAGAAATTAATAATTTTAATTCAGCAAGGACATTCTGAATTGACCAAAAGGTGACAAAAGAATTTTATACATTTAGAATTTAAAAAAAATTATATTTGAAATAAATGCTGTTCTTGTGAACTTTCTTTTCATCAAAGAATCCTGACAAATCACAGTTCCGCAACACATTATCACAGTATTTGCAAACATATTAAGCAGCACAACTGTTTTCAACATTGATAAGAATGAGAAATATTTCTTGAGCATCAAATCAGCATATTAGAATAATTAGAAAATTGTAATTTTATTTCACAATAGTTCTCTTTTTACTCTATTTTTGATTAAATAAATCCAGTCTTGGTGAGCATAAGAAACTTTTTTCAAAAACATGAATGTTGTGATAGCATAAGTTTATTAATAAACACAAACCAACATTTGATGGCGAAGTAGTCAAGCCCTACTGAGTCATATCCTAATTTATGCTACCATCTGTGCTACCCATTGTTACCCATTCTGGTATTTTTTAATCTAATAAATTTTACTTAATTTTAATATTTATTGTGTGATAGTCAATGCTGATATGAGATAATGAGATTCACCTGAGCACTTCGTCTTTAATGTGATGATTTGGCGGAAGAACTCCTCCCTCCTTCAGCCACTCAATCTCAATGTGAGACCCTCCTTTAGCAGCACAGGTGAACTCCACAGCGCTGCCCAGAGCCTTCACTTCCACCTGTGGGGACACTTTCACTGACAGGGGTGCTGCAGGACACAGAGGTCAGAGGTCAAGCTGAATGTCAGTTAGAATTCATCTGATGATCACTTTGTGAGTTTGACTCACTGAACTGTCAGCACTCACATCGGACAGACACTCTGGCCAGCGCTTCACTCTTGCCAACCTTGTTGCTGGCCACACACTTGTATGTCCCAGCATCGCTCTCCTTGGCCAGGTTGATCTGGAGGTCTCCTCCTTGCTGCTGAGCAGTAGGAGGCAAGCTGCCATTGACCTTGGTCCACTCAAAACGCAGGGGTGGGGTGCCATGGGCCAGGCATTGCAGTCGGATTACTTCACCCACTCGCACAGACACGTCATCGGGCAAGGAAGTGGCATAGGGTGGGGCTGCTCCAACCAAAGAAACGTCAGTTAGAGGATGCTGGATAATCACCACTGGCTCATGTTAGAGAGCTTTATAACAACAGGAAAATGTGTTTCACACATCTTGGAGAAATTCAGACAAAAGTTACAATCTTAAAATGTAAAAAAAAAAAAAAATTAGACTAAAACAAAATAAATAAACTTGAAAAAAAATTGTAAATTTTTTTAGAGGATATATCTTATTTAGTGTATTTTTCTTACTCTGTTGCCATCTTCTTTTAAACTTAAATCTAACTAAATTTTGAGAGGTTTATGCTTAAAACAAGAAAAAAAAAAGTTTACCAATGGTGTAAGAAAATTAATTAAATAAAGATCTAAATTAATTAAAGATATATTATATAAAATGTATTAATATCTTATTAAATGCAGATACATTTGTAGATATATTATAGATGTTTAGATTTTTTTGATGAAATAGTGATGTTTAGATGAAATGCTAAAATAACCCGTTTTTTTTCCTGGCAAACAAGAAAAAAATACAGAATAAGACTTTTTTTTTTTTTGGGCAACGGACATGAAAATTTGTAGAAAATAAATTACAAGATAAATTAATTCAATATAAATTATCTAAAATGTATTATTACCTTATGAAATATTATGAATACCGTATGACATTTTGAACATTAAACATGCTTTAAGTATATTTAGATTTGTTTTCTGGCAAACAAAAATACTGAATAAAAAATTTAATAAAAATAAATATACTAAAAATACTGAATATGAAAATAATTTTTTGCAATGTAAGAGTGCATAATAATTTTGTAATAAATATCTAGATGTTAGACATGATTGTTTGTAAAGGATGCATGATAAATGTTTTTTTTTTCACAATATGTTCTCAGAAGTCATAATATTGTAAACAATGAAAGTACATTTATTTGGTTTGGTGGAAATTTTTCCTGGAAAACAAAGTAAAAATATTATTAAGAAAATGATTATTGAAGTGTAAAATGAACATGCATCAGATTAACAAGGAATAAAAATGATATATGAATAAGTTAAGCTCACTGTCTACTTCCAGCATGATTGTGACTTCACTGGTGCCCATGTGGTTAGTAGCGTTGCAGACATATTGACCAGAGTCCTGACGGCCCACATTAGTTAAGATCAGGCTGTTGTCAACAATTTTGTGTCTCCAAGGCAAAGACGACCGTTCTTTAGACCATGTGATGGTGGGCTTTGGGAATCCTTTAGGTAAGATACAAAAGCTTTAAGGCACACTCTTTAATATAGACATATTGTCTGCTTGCATTTTTACCTATTGTGTTTTAACAGCCATAACTTTCAACCGCTGCTTACGGTTGCACCTACCATGGGCATCACAATGAAGTGTTGTTGTTGATCCCTCTACCACAACTATCATAGGCTCACGTACGCTGGCACGGGGAACAGTTGGCACCTGAGGCCCTCCTTCAACAAACACCTCCACTCGAGTTTCAGTTGTGCCTTGGTTGTTCTGTGCAGTGCACACATATGTGCCACTGTCTTCAGGCCGTGCAACTAAGATCTGAACACAGAATTAAACACACTCTGATTAAAATATAGAGGCAAACCACTGTGAAATCAACAAAGGCTTGACTACAAACAGCCCGTAACCTGCATGACAGCACTGGAATCGGCAGGCACGGGGCTGCTCAGCATCGTCTTGCGGTTGTTGTCCAGTCTGTGCCATCTGACAGAGGGTCTTGGCTCTCCAGCAGCCTGGCATTCGAGATTGATGGGATCGCCGATCCTGATTCGCACCGGTCCTGCAGGGGTCACTACAGCCTTAGGTGATTCTAAAAATGAAATCAGACAAAAATATAAGAATAGGCTCCTAAAATGGAACAACAAAAGTATCTGAACATCAGAAAAATGGTGTGCACTAATTGAAATGGCAATAATGATTATTTCTGGTTTTCTGATTATCCACTGGTTTTCCAATGCCCCCTCCTAGTAGCTTTCCTTTTCCTAGTTCACATCAATTGTGGTTATACCTCTCACAATGAGTGATGCAATGCTGTGGGTCATTCCGAACAGGTTGCTGGCCACGCAGCGATAGGTGCCCTGGTTTTTGGCTTGAGCATTGGTAATAGTCATGACTGAATTGTCAGGTCCAATTTTCACATTATCTACAGAGCAAAAGAAAATAAGCAAAATCATTTCTATTCAGGCATCATACTAATTACACTGAAATGAAAGTGAATTGCAGCAGTGTACCTGGCAGAGGCAGGTTGTTGGTGGGTTTCCACTCCAAACGCACCGGCTGGGCTCCGCTGTGGACCCTGCACCTGAAGCTCGCTAACTCGCCCTGCTTCACTGCTGCGCTATGAGGCTCAATGGAGATAATGGGGCTCTGGAGACCTACTCCAAAATCAGACCACAAAATACAGTGGGCATATGTTGAGCATCAGACCCAGGGAAATTAAAATGAAGGACTTGGGGTAAAAATGGCACTGAAAGGGGCAAAAAATATGCCAGACATTTAAAACATGAGGGGGTGGGGTCTGATTTTTGATCTAGTTATGGGTTTAGTGCTTGTCTAGATAAAGTAGTGAACTCTTCTTGTATTAATTCTCTATTTGTTATCTCAGTCATTTTTAGTCTTTTTTTTTTTAGCACTGTTCATTGTTTTTCCTCATGATCATGTTAGGAAATTGTAACATTTCCAGGAGCTAGTCTGTGATCTTATTGCATTCTGAATCCAGAATGTGTTTTTTTTCCACCACACCCATGAAAATACTCAGCCAAATTACCTACTGTTTTTTTTTGACAAACAGTAAGGTTGTGTGGTGGTATTTTAAATATATACAGTACATTCACATAAACTGGGGCTTGCAGGACTAATAATTTTACTAGACAACCAAGCAGCCAGGTCAAGTGTTATCTTACATAAATAAGAGGGTGCATTAACTTATTTCTGCACATTTTTAAAATGACATTCCTCATTTGAAGAGATAAAATAAAAATAAAAAAACACTGCATGTCAATTTTCCTATTATTAAATAATATTTAAATGTTGAAAATGTTACTGATCACATGGGCCAATCGGAGTGAACTGCGACGCTAATGAACACGCAGTCATGCACAGAGACCATCGGCAAATAATATGATAAATTTTGGTTTGTTTTCAGCGCCGATAGCCTTGTGGTAAGTGCGTCGACATATAGTGCAAATGCGCTCATGGCGACCCGAGTTCGATTCCCGCCTCGAGGTCCTTTGCCGATCCCGCTCCCCTCTCTCTCCACCCAACTCTTTCCTGTCCGCTCTCCACTGTCCTCTCCCATTAAAGGCATAAAAAGCCCAGAAATATAACTTTGAAAAAAAATGTTTGGTTTGTTTTTCACCAAACCCTATCGTATAACCCCAGAGCACTTGGAATAGACTGCACGTGTCACATGGGCCCACTCTGAGATAATTTTGCTGAGATTACTTTTTTAAAAGCTTGATGCTGATCGCCATACAATGCCATTATTTGGACAAGTACGCGTGGGACATTTTTGAAAAAAATCTCCTTTTGTGGTTCGAAAAAGAAAGAAGGGTGCATGAGAACTATAGCATGCGAACAACACAAGGGTGAGTAAATGATGACTTAATTTTCATTTTTGGGTGAATTATCCCTTTAAGTATTTGACATAAAATTGACTATTTTGGGGGGACAAAAGTCCCTGAAAACTAATTCCAAAGTGCAAATATCATCAAATGAATTCTTGGGACACAGCAAGAGATGAAGGGGCTTGGAAAATAAGTCTGTTTACCTAATACATGAAAAACCAAAATGTGAAGATAGATGACATTAGACAACATTATGAAACAGCCTCTGCCTACATAATAGCATGTTTGGTTAATGATCTGCATTACATTAATACTTTCCTGTTCCTCATCAATCTAGGGGACTTACGGGAGGAGCTGGACGTCACAGACACAGATACAGAAGCCTGACGGGGGAATGGGCCGCCCTCGACCTGACAGATATATTCTCCAGTGTCATCTGCAGAGGCCTGCAGGATCCGCAACTGAGTTCCCAAAACCTTGAGTCAAATACACATGCAAGCACACACATGGTTTATATATTTAACACTCGGCTCAGAAATCTGTCATACATACTTCACGTAAATCTGCTTTATAATGGACTGTGATAAAACCTGATGATTGGATGACAGCAAGCCGCCTGCCCTGCTCCATTTGACAGATGCTGGAGAGGTTCCTGGGACGATGCAATTGAGATCTAGAGTCTCTCCCTCTATTACAGAAGCAATAGAGGGCTGGATGGTGACTCCAGAGGGGATGATTTCTCCTGATCACAGTGACAGAACAATATTACAATTATATCCTAAAGATACTAGTCTAAAATTTCAGGACTTGCCTCACCTCTTTTGACAAAGACCTCAATATGAGCTTCTGAGGAACCAACAGTGTTGGTTCCAACACAGAGATATGTGCCTGCATCAGACGACCTGATATTGGGTACGAACAGAGTGCCGATGTCAGTGCGCTCCAGGTGGGCCTAAAGAGGATATAGATATACGGGTTTTGAGGTACATTTTTAGTTATTTTATATGGAATCTAAGATATTATTGCTGCAATAATTTTCTGTAAATCTGCTTTCAAATAATGTGCATTGTAAAAAGTGCTAAATAAATAAATTGGCTTGATTTTTTGTGAACATCAAGTGAGTTTGGTCAATAGGAGCAGAATAAACGTAACAGCATTAACAACAGAAGACAATTTAATACTCATTACTTACCTTGCCTTGACAAGACTTACATTAAATAAAACAGTTTAAATGCATTAATATACAGAAATACCTGCAAATAAACTTAAAAAATTAAGCAAATAATGTTAAGCATTTTAGTCATTTATGAAGTGATTTTTGTTATGAGGCTATCACCGTGTCCTAACCAAGACTAATGACAAACTGAATGCAAAAATGTGGTGTGACGCAACTAAATAGTACATAAACACAGCCAATCAGAACAATTCTCTCACTTTCTCGCAGCCACAATGCACTGTAGCTGAAGAGCGCAAAACACATACCTCATATTTTCATGACTTCATCAGTAGTAATTAAGCATGATTGTTACTTTTTTGTATGGAAATTGTCATATCCACAATTTTGCAAACTGCTATCATATTATTTTAATCTGTTGTCGTAATTATCAACACACTGGTTTGTAGCGCAAATGGTTGTACCATTTACTGCACTTTGTTATTGTCGTAGTGTAATGTGGTGTTTTGTTTCATGTTCATGTTTTCCATGTCTTTTATTTTGTAATTGTTTCATGGTCCCTGTTTGTGTCATGCTTTCCTTGCCCTCATGTATTCATGCCATTGGTTCCCCTGTTCATTTGTGTCATGTTCTGATTGGTTGTCTTAGTCATGTGTCTTGTTTCCCATTGGTTTGTTCTTGTCATGTGACCCTCTTGTTTCCTATAAGTAGCTTCATGTTCCCATTGTGCCCTCGTCGTGTATTGAATGTATTTAACCCGCTGTTGGTGAGTCTAGTCTGTTTATGTCAAATCTGCTCCTGCTATGTCTGTTCAAGTCAAGTCAAGTCTGTGTTTCTTGTTTGGATGTTTGGATATCACCTGTAAATAAAACTGCACTTGGGTTCTCACTTCAACTCGCCTTCAGTGGATGATTCATTACACCTAGTCAATTCAGCCTGCACAATGAATCAAGCTTCCATCAGTTGGACTCTTTGAAATGCTTCATTTCAAAGGGCTCTTTGAAGTGTCCAGTAGTGAACTTTGGTTTAGAACAACCCTTCAGTATGGCTCTCCCTCTAAAGTGTCCATCAGAGGTGGATTTTAGCCAGTTTGGAACACAGTGCAACTCTCTCCTCCTTGACGTTTGATGATTAATATATATGAGGAGCGCTACTTGTATCCAAAAAGTTTCCATTATGGACAAACTACCCGGCGCGACATGGCAGACACAAACCAAATGGCTCACAAAATGCGAAGGCACTGTGGCTTATGACATACCGGTACACTACTGGACAAGTTAAGACACAGTGTAATTTTTTTATGCCTCATAACAGATTGTTATTAATCATTGGGTGTTATAATTATGGTGCTACAGGTCTATATTAGCAGATGATTAACCTGCAATTACCTGTAATTGATTAAAGGCATTGGTGACGGTGATTATTTCACACAATGAGATATACAGTGACAGTGGACAGTTAAAGCAGCTAGTGGCTACACAATATACATCAAAATCCTACATCTAGAGACATCCAGGCCTGTAAATCAACCTTCAAATGTAAACATAATTAGACTTTCTTTGTTTTACAAGGATTTATAGAAGATAAAGATTCATGAATGCAATTAGCACAATTATGATGTCCAATTCTCGACAATAGTTATACACATATACAAAGAAACTCTAAAACTGTACGTTACATCTGTAGTGTACTCTCTGCAAAGGAAAAAATGACTGTATTCAGAAGGGAGGGGGTGATATTTTTATCCAGGAGTAAAGCTGCTTAACTCTAGTGAAACGTGGCGGCAGTAGAGCCGGGATGGGGCAGGCTTGGTTGAATGAGTGTCTGAAACCATTCAAAAATTTTCAAAGCAGCCCGTTTGCTAGAGCACACAGAATTTCTGCATGGCCTCACGGTAGACCAGAGCACACTCTGGGAAAGGCTGACACAATGCAGCAATGCTCTCAGGCAGAACAAACCAGTCCACAAAGACACAAGGTACGCAATACACCAAAGCCCTCCAGAGGCATGGGACGGGTCGTCCATGTCTCATATCTCGAATAACCCAAATCGAACAGTGCAAAAACATGTACAGTGGGGTAAAAAAAAAATGGGTCCACTTGGAAAACTGCTTCCGTTTGGCTTTATATTTAGCCATTTTTCTAATTTAAATACATTTATAGGAGTATAACAATTTGAGTCCAAAGTTCAATTGTAAAATGTAAATGAATTTCAGTATTGGTTTGTACATCCTTTGCTTTAAAGGAATAGTTCACCCAAAAATGAAAATGTTCTGAAAATGTACTCACCCTCACCATGAGTTTGCTTCTTCATCAGAACAAAACTGGAGAAATGTAGGCATTACATCACTTGCTCACCAATGATTCCTCTGCAGTGAATGGGTGCCATCAGAATGAAAGTCCAAACAGCTTATAAAAATATCACAATAATCTACAAGTAATCCAGATGACTCTAGTCCATCAATTAATGTCTTGTGAAATGAAAAGCTGCGCATTTGTAAGAAACAAATCACTTTTTCACTGGAGAAAGAAATATTATGGATAGAGGACTCATATTTTAGGCTGAAGCAATGGTTTCAAGTCAAAAATGTCTTGATGGATTTATTTATTACAAACATGCAATTTATGGATTACTTACATTACTTGTGGATTACTGTAACGTTTCCATCAACTGTTTGGACTCTCATTCTGACGGCACCCATTCACTGCATAATATCCATTAGTGAGCAAGTGATGTAATGCTAAATTTCTCCAAATATGTTCTGATGAAGAAATTAACTCATCTACATCTCGTTTGGCCTGAGGGTTTTCATCAAATTTAATTTTTTTGGGTGAACAATGTAGACTTTTGCACCACACTGTACATACTCTTTGAAAACTAAAACCAGCACACCTGTTTACCAGAGCAAACGAAATAATGTTTGTACTCAAATAAGCAATCTGCAATGCTTTTTTGGCTAATAATCTAATGGATGTCACGTGAATGATTAAATGAATCATGCATTTAGTTCACATAGATTTTGGTGAGGGTAAGTGAAGCGAGACAGGTGGGATGGGACGTGTGAGACAGACATCAGACAAATGGACAGACCTGTAGCTCCTCAATACGTCTCTGTAACACATCGAGACTGTTGCTTTTAAACTGATGGAAACCGTGAGAAGGAATTGCCTGAACAAACACCAAAACATGGGATGAAACAGAAAGAAAAACTCAAAGGAGGCAAAACAAGGCAAAATCTGACCAATGGCACAACCCTGATTTAGTAACAGGATGAATGACAAAAGGAGAAATTGGTTTTTCACCTGTGGCGGCAGTGAACCACCTCTCTTCTTCCATGTGAGGGCAGGGGTGGGACTGCCAACGGCCCTGCAGTACAACCGTAAAGTCTCACCCTCGTGAATTTCCACCCGTGGAGGGCTCACTTGTACGTGGGGTAGACCGTGAGGTTGACTTGTACCTGAAACATCAGTTAAAAAGTAAAGGAGAACTGACTTGTCAGCTTCGGGAGCTTGTTACACTGTAAATCTTGAAGCATTCTGGTGTCAGACATGTACTTTGAACATGAAGAACTCCTCGGGCTGTGTGCTCGCCATGTGTGTTCAGGGCCTTGCAAATGTACTCGCCGTCATCCAAGTGATCCACCGATGGGATGGTCAGCAGCCCGTTACGAATGACGACTTTTGAGCCGATTCGCTTTCCGGGACCTCCTGACAAACACCATATTATAAGACAGAATTCCAGGAGTCAGGAAGCAATAGTTCATGTTATGTGGGAATACCTAACCACACGACCAGATTGAAAACTCAATATATCTTCATCAACAAACAATGCTTTCCATGATTTCAAGGTAGGACGTTCCTCGATCAACACCCTTGTTGGTCCAGCAACAACATTCTTCAGCAACAAGCATCATTGGGTTTAAATCATTAGGTTTTAAGAATCTTTTGTTGTGCTTTTGTTTAACTTATTCCGTTGTGTTGACTAACATAATAAAATACATGTAAAGTATTTGATTTATCATTTTAACTGTCATGTGTTATTCAATATTAAATTTAATTAAGTGGGTCAAAAAGTTAATCAAATTGCATTTAATATAAATATTATATGTGACCCTGGACCACAAAACCAGTCATAAGGGTCAATTTTTTGAAATTGAGATTTATACATAATCTGAAAGCTGAATAATAAGCTTTCCATTGATGTATGGTTTGTTAGGATAGGACAATATTTGGCTGAGATACAACTATTTGAAAATCTGGAATCTGAGGGTGCAACAAAAATCAAAATATTGAGCAAATCGTCTTTAAAGTTGTCCAAATGACATTCTTAGCAATGCATATTACTAATCAAAAATTATGAAGATATTTCGTAAATTTCTTACCGTAAATATCTTCATGCAACATGATCTTTACTTAATATCCTAATGATTTTTGGCATAAAAGAAAAATCGATAATTTTGACCCATACAATGTTTTTTTGGCTATTGCTACAAATATACCCCAGTGACTTAAGACTGGTTTTGTGGTCCAGGGTCACATATATAATACTTTTTTTATTTAACTGCAACTAAGTGTCTGAAAACATTGCATTCAATACACACTTAAGAATATTCTTTTAAAGTATATTTTTTTCCATAATAAGTACTGAAGTGTACTTCTTTTTCACAAAGGCCTTCTTTTGCAGGATTGCTGTTCTAGGGCCAATATAAGATCACACGTCCTATAACCATGTCCTACTTAGCATAATCATGGTGACCACAAATTAATTATGAACTTATATTCTCAAATGTAGATTGGCTCACCTATCCATTCCACAGCAGGTGTGGGGTTGCCAGTCACTGTGCAGCGGAACTCTGCCCGCTGGCCCTGTTTGACTGTCAGCACAGGTGGATTTACTGTGGCCACTGGCTGGGCCCCTTCAGTAGCTACAGTGAGGTAGAAACCAGTTAATCACAGACAGGAGTAGCACACTTCAAACTGGAGTACCAGTCATTATAGATAATGCCTATTCAGAACAGACCTTACCCTCTCTCGACAACGCAAGAGGTCAAGAACCTTTTCAGTGAAATGGATTTCTCATTCATGGTCTAAATGCTATGAAATGTCATGCTAATTAATTGATCATGTTTTTTTACATTTATCTTACTGTGTGGTCTCTATTATAAGCACTACAATTTCAAAAAGGCAAATGGGAAGAAAACTCTGAAGAGTTAAAACAGTTCTACATTTGGGAAAGGTCTGTTTGTGAGAGTGTTTATGAAGTGATAGTGGTGTGACAGCATATGCAGCGTGTGTCTGGCTGCCAGAGCTGATGGTAAAATCATGTCTCTTGGCAGCCAGCTTGAGGAGATGAGAAGTGGCAGACGGGGCTTGGCAGGGCAAGGCCCTCACTGCTGTCTGTGCCAACTCGGCTGGACGCAGAGCCCTCGATCTATAGGGATTCCAGGGCAACAGAGCAAAAGAAAGCTTTCTTTCACCAACTAGGGCGGACTACTGGTCTGTGTAAACTCTGTGTTAAGCTCCGGTCTGCTTCTCGGTGACTGAACAGTGCTCATTTAGCCTTGGTATTTAGAGCACTACTTTTTCCATGTTGGGTTCAAAAATAGAGTTCTCATTTTGGTCCATAACTCAGAAACGTACTTTTTGTTCTATGCATTTTGAGATCTATCTACCCACCCATCTAACAGTTTACACATCTATCCATCCACCCAACCATCTTGCTGTCTACTCACCCATCTCTCTGTCTATACACCCAACCATATAGCAGTTTACCTACCCCTTTATTCATCCACTCATCAACCCGCCCATCACTGTCTACACCATCTACCTACTCAACTATCCATGCCTACCCACCCATCTATTTTTCAACTTATCCATCTACCTGTCTACATAGCTATCCCTTCGCCCAACCATCTAGCTGGCTACACATCTAGCAACCCAACCACAAAACTGCCTACTCCCCCATTTTTCAACTCCTCTATCTAACCCAATCCTACCAGTCTACTCATTTATCCATCTACCAACCCATCTTTGTATACACCATCTATCTTCCTAATCCATTTGTCTACCCACTCCATGTTATTCATCTACCCAACCATCTATTTATTTACCCTATCTTTTCCGTCTACTCATGTCTATCTACCCACCCTTCTGTCTATACATCTCCACATCTATCCACCTAACCATCTAGCTGTCTATCTACCAATCTTTGACCTCATCCATCTACCCAGCCACTTTCATCTATATACATCTATATATTCACCCATCTATGTCTCCATATCGGTCAATCCACCCAACCATCTGTCTACCCATGCATCTCTGTCAACACATCTGTCGACCCAACCATATAACTGTCTACCCAACCATCTATTTTTTCAACTCATCCTTCTACCCAATTTACTAATTTATCCATCTAATCTACCCACCCAACCATCTACTCATCTACCTACCCACTTATTATCTACACATCTATACACCCATCTATTTTTCAATTCATCTAACCAACCCTATCAATCTACTCAATCCATCTACCTACCCACCCATCTATCGGTCTATACATCTATGCACCCCCTCAACTATCCACACCTTTAGTCACCTATTCATCAACTTATCTTTCTACCCTCACAAATTTCTGTCTATATATAAACCCATCTTTTTTATCTATCCACCCTATTTACCTACTCTATCTATATATCCACCCACTTGTACCCTATCTATCTACCCACTTCCCTATCTACCATTTCTCTACCAATCTATCTACTCACCCATGTGCTATCTAACCATCTATTTATCTACCTATCCATCGATCACCATAAGCCATGTAAATTCATACTAAAGTGAAACATGTAAACTGGACATGTAAGCGTGAGTGATGACCATTATAAATGAGACAGTATGATCTTTGAAAAACAATGTATGTTATTTGATATCTGATATACCTCAACATAGTCTTGCATATCAAAAGCATGATACTGGGCTGATGAAATGTGCGGGGGACCCCTCTCTGTTACAGGTGACAAGTGTGATGTTTGGTGGTTTGGTCACATATAACAACAAGAAGATATATCTGTGTTACAGACCATTTAGTAATAAAATAAGAATCATACAAGACACACTTCAGCAACAGAGAGAAGTCCCCATTGTGTGCAAGCATGCAGCTTTACTGTTTCAATGGACCCATATGAGCCATGAAAGCTTAACCAGATCAAGTAATGCTCCTGTGTACAACTCAACACATGTACAACAAGTGAGCAAAACATGGTAACAAACAGGATTAACAAAAATAAATAATATCTTTAAAACTGTGGTGGTTACAAAGTTTTTTGTTTTGGTGAAATTAGCACTGTGCTCGTAGTTTGGTTGTACCTGGGCACTACTTGAGATGGTAAAAGCATGCAGGGCGTGAAGGTTGCATGCGTGAAAGAAACGGGTCCTTCCAGGTATGGAGGTAAAGAACCATGTGGACTTACGCTTTCTATGTCCTTCAAACATCTCATAGGCTGTGTAAAACATCTGTGACTGAGAAGCCTCTGTGAATGATGGACAGGCAGATACTGTCAAGTGAGTCTCCAGAAGGTTCAGTGAGAGTGGCGCACTGGTGCCTCCAAGCATTTCAACGTGATTTAAAGCATATGCCACTCAACTCAGAGACTTCAAGACTTTTGAGCACCAGAACTTGCGTGCAACGACTTGCATTTCTTCTGCCGTGAAATAATACTTTAATAGGTGGGGACTAAATTATCTCTAGATAAGTTTCAGCAAGCTTACATCTTATATTTCCATGAAAGTAAATCATGCTTTAACAGATGGCTGCAAATATCTCCCAAAATGCCTGAGGTTGATATCATTCATTTACTAAGTACATCAGTACATGTCAAATTTTAAATCACATTTCAAAATTTAAAATATAAAAAGTCTCAAATATGATATGATACAGATATGATTTCTTTTTAACTTTTTACCTTTTATCTATTTGTACAAGGAAGCTTCTCATTGGCTTTTTTAGTAAGGTAAATGAAGTTCTTCCCAATTACACCATTATGCTCCAGTATCATTGATTTACAGTACCTGTCATGTGAGACTATAGACAATGGTGGAAAAGTTCATGAAGAATAGATGCTGTAAAATGGCAAGCATTAGTTTGCCCCACTGAGAATCAAAGAGGGCATTGAGTTTTCCTAGTGAAAAAATCAATGCACATTTAGAAGACATTTCAAAATGAGTGTGAGGTAAGAACACTGTCTGTGTAATTAAAAAAAGAGTGGAGGAAACAGCACTCAGATGAAATCAAAGCATGCAGGTTAGTATCAGAACACAACATATGTAAAAGCTTTACCTCGATATAAACATTCATAATGTATTCGCCTTGAATACAGCTTGTGATTGATACATATCTATCCTAGGATTTCAGTTTCACTTTCATTCCATGGAGCGATAGTGTTTTACCTGTTTTTCTTTTAATATGTTCACCATTTAAAGAGTAATTTGTACATACATTTCACAGTTTAGACAAATCAAATACAATGAAATCATAATGTAAAAAAAACATTTTCTCAAGATTCAGCACCATTTCAAAATGTACAAAATTAAATATTGTTTTAATTATTGAAATAACTGAATATACCTACATGCTTGACTAAAAAGAAAATCAAAAAAGGAAAAAGATAAAGCACCATTCAAGTGTAAAACATACATAATGAATAACAACAAAAACAATGCAAAAACACAAATGCATGAAAAAATGTTTGAAATCTGTTATAACATACACATAAAACCTTAAAGTCAACATAAACATAATTTCCATTATATTACTCGCTGTGTTTGTAAATGTAAACCAAAGTTTTTGTTTTTACAGCAGTTTGTCAAACCAGTCAAAATAAATATGGAATTAAGTTCTAAGCAATAACTACAGTACACATCACTGTTGGTAACATTTGGAAGGCATTATCTATGAAATGTCTCTAAATACTACTAAATATAATTGAGTTTACAAAACCGTTTAAGAAATGGTTGCATCTGAAATGCCGCAACATAAAATATATAATAAAAAAAGGTATATATATTTACACTGCCAAAACCATTGGCAGTTTCCAATCCATGTAGATGACCAAAAAGAGAGAAGAAAAAGAAACAATTTGAAATGGAAAATATGACACTCATGGAAAACGTCAACATTCCAGCTACTGCACTATTAATAGCACCATTTTCGAATACAAGACTGAAGAACATTTCCATGACAAAATAGAGGTGGAATCACATCTTGGAGTCAGGAACGGGATTGTGCCTGCAGAACCTCTGGCTGACGAGTCCCAGTATTTATGACACCTCCCTACCTTATAAACCACCTATCCCCAAAAGACCACCGCAGGAGGGAAATGACAGTAAACATGCCCGGAAATTAAGATACAAACCCCCAACTAGTAAGAAGACTGACACAGAACCACCACCATGACAACACCCAATGACACCCGCAGCTGATTTCACTGACCGCTACTAAGGACACTATGCATGAATGTAATGCATATTAGTCTGGAGGTTAGTAAACTGACTAGGCCTTATCCATTAAACACAAGCAGAACAAATGTTTTTGCAAATAATATATGAATCCATTTTTATGTACATTTTTATATTTAATGCAATGTGGCGATTTGTGTAAAATATTTTACAAAAGACTTGCACAGAAATTTTTGCTCATGTTTCATGAAGAACGTCAGTATACAAATTACAATTTCTGTGTAAATCACTCCTAAAATGTTTCACTGAATTGAATACAACAATTTACATGAAAATGTATTTATGAACGATTTGCACAAAATTTGTTCTGCTCATGTTTCATTGTGCAATTGCATAATATTCTGAACTAAAAGCTGCCATTGAGAAAACGTTTATATCAAACGTTTAATACGACTAAATTGCTGTCAGTCTTCATGGGAGTCTGTTTTGTACACCTGCTTTAATATGCGAGTCACATAACAAAATGAACATCATCTAAGTTTCCAATATTCATGACCCAAAAATGCTTCAACTTTTTGCTCAAGATTTTAGCTTGCAACACCATTTGGGAGTATGAAAAAAAAAAAGATCATGAATTTGTATCAAGAAAAACAAATTATTTCAGGTGCTGGATTAGACTTGACTGAAAACGCATTTTCTGAGATTTAGTTATTGAGTACAAAATGTAATATATCTGAGTTTAGCTATTCATTCACAAGCTGTATCAATTTGTCTGGCGTAAAGATTTTACACTGGCAACATGAGAAGCCTTTTAAATTTGTGTAAGTGGAAAAAATGCCTTACTTGTAACAACAATCTCTGCTTTGCTTCTATTGGAGCTGCGCTGGTCTCGGCAGGTGCAGATGTAAATGCCAGCATCACTAGGCTGCACACTGGGGAAATGCAACTCCTCTCCTGCGACATGGAATGAAAAGGTTAATATCTCAGTTTTTACTCTATTTTTTAACTTGGGTTTGGTCGCAATGTATTAAGGTGCTTGCTTATCCACAAAGGATATATGCAATATGAAACAGAGCATTTGATTCTATTTTTGATGCTTGGTTTCTCTAGGGGATTCATTTGTGACGTCTTGAGAGATCCCGTACTAGTCATCTGAACATGCTTGTAGGAATGTGGGCAGTACCTTGTCTGCGTCTCTCTGCTGTGCTGGAGATTGGGCGTCCATCCTCACGGGACCAGTGGAAATAGTGTGGTGGATATCCAGACACCTGGCACCTGAGAGTGACTGGGATTCCCTGCGCCACCTGAACCCTTTCTGGATACACCTTCACCACTAGAGACGCAGCAACTGATGACATACAAACACATTGTATTAGAATCTGTCCGATAGAAAAGCTGTTTTACAAATGCAGAGGCCCATAAATGTGCCCCATGAAATCAATTAAAGATTTTTTTTATTTCTGTGTTGATGTAATACCAATTGAAACAGGAAGTTAGGGCAGAAAAGGCTCATCCCCCTTTTTTAAAACTGCCAATTAGTCATAATTTGCTACTGGTTTCCAAAGTGGTATTATGAGTATATGTGTGTTCATGTGCATAATTTAGTCAACTTTTATGAGTTCACTAGTATAATAGATGCTAGACTTGGACTGAAAATCATTTTTTATTTCATGGGGTCATTAAAAGTAATAGTAAATGAACAGATACCACTACGGCAGGGGATTCTTGCTTGTGGATTTCCAACATAACCAGGCGCACAGCTATGAAGAACGAAGAGTGTCACATTAAAAATTGTGATGACAATAATAGCATCTAAACAACTGAATTCCATTGTAACAGTACAGGAAGCGTGAGCGTACCGTTCACAATACTGGCCAGTGTAGCCGGGCTGACAGGCAGTGCACTGGTAGCCTCCGTTACCCAGACTTTCACAGGTACGAGAGAACCTACACATAAAATGACTATTAAAATCATTCCTACAAGTGAGGCAGATATTGTGAAAACAGGAGCTGGCAGGGTCAGGTAAGGTTTACAGAGGTATATGTTAAGACTAACTGGTTGTCAGGGTCAGTGCCGGGGCAGGCACATGCTTGGCAGTCCTCAGGGGTTCCAGCAGTTGGATCTCCAAAGAAGCCGTCAGCACACTGTTCACAGAGCTCACCCTTGGTGTTGTGTTGGCAGTTCTACGGATCAAAAAGATATCACATGTGGTATGGACTACTTTTATGAGGGTGAGTAAAGGCAATATATATTTATATATTGATTGATTTTAGTTAGTTTATAATATGTATTCAATCTATAAAATACATCTTTTGGTTTAACTTTATTTTAAGGTGTCCTTGTTACAGTGTAACTATACATATAAGTACTGAGTAATATTAATTAACTACATGCACTTACTATATGGTTAGGGTTAGGATTAGGGTTTGGCTAATGGGTAACTTGCATGTAATTATGCATAATTAATTGTTATTATAATAGTAAGTAGTGCAATGTAATTATATTATTTTGTTTACATATTTGCTCAACTTAAGAGGGTGAGTAAAATTAATTTGTTTATTTATCTAGTTATGATGCGATTAATATTATTTTTAAAATGTATAGTATATAACACTTTTTAGATACACTTTTTTTTGGACGCAATTGAACTATTTTGATTAAATATAATTTATTCATTCATTAATTTATGCAATTTTAGATCATTTAAATATTTATTAAATTGTTTTACTGTGTTAGATTTTGTATTACTGTATTATATAAATACATATATTTGGTATACTGTACTGTTCAAGTTGACAAGCTGTTAAAAGGAGAGCAACACTCTTATTTAAATTTGACTGCATTCATCCCTTAAAGGGATAGTTTTTTATTTTTGTTTTCTTTGTGCACAAAATGTATTCTCGTAGCTTCATAAAATGACGGTTGAACCATAGATGTCACTTGGACTATTTAAATGATGTCCTTACTACGTTTCTGGGCCTTGAACATGTCAGTTCCATTGCTGTCTATGCAAGGTCAGAAAGCTCTCGGATTTCATCAAAAATATCTTAATTTGTGTTCCAAAGGTGAACGAAGGTCTTACAGGTTTGGAACGACATGAGGGTGAGTAATTAATGACAGAATTTTCACTTTTGGGTGAACTATCCCTTTAAAACATTCTGGGACACACTTTTGTTGAAGAACCGCTGGTAAAGCTTCATACCGTGCAGATGCCAGTCTCTGGGTGACAGGAGTCCGTGTGGCCGTTACATTCACACAGCTCACAGTGGCCAAGGTACAAGCCCCCTCCTGTGCGAGTGTATCCAGGAGCGCAGTCCTACAGAACACAGAGACAACGAACAGAAGTCTGGACTGAGTAATACTGTCATCACCATCACTGCATGGAAGCAAGCCTTTACAATTCATCTAGTGGGTCACAGAGCAAAGCTGCATTGTTCCTACCTGGCAGGACAGACCATGGTAACCAGGAGGACACTGGCACTGCTCCACCTCCAAAGCCTGGGCCAGGCCAGTGTACTCGGGCACAGCGATATCCATGCGGACCCCCGAAATACTGGATGAGTGCATCTCTGTGTGATACGAAGCACGGATCAAGATGTCATCGAGGTCCGCGAGCACCATCATCAGGTGCTCCCGGGTTGCCGGCATGCCATCGGGACGCTGCCAGTGTTCCTACAGACCAGAAATTATCCATGTCATGCTAAACCACATATCTTGCTTCAATATGAATGACAGTATGGATGTATGGGTTCTCACCTCTCTGAAAACAATCTCAAAGTCCTGTGACTCTCTGGCTCCATGCCCCCTTCTCCATGGTTGCCGTGCCACCAGCGTGATGTCATTACCCTGTAGAAATAGTGATGACCAACAGGGGTCAAATCTTAAAAGAAAGCCTATAACATGCACGTAAAATCTGCTATCATACTTACAATAATCTGAACATCAGCATCTTCTATTGGAGAACCTCGGGGTCCTGGTACATAGGAGATGGTGTATTTCAGCTTTCCACCATATGCACCAACCTACATAAGAACCAAAAAAGAATGTTTGACATTTTTACATGAATCATAACTCCAAATGCAAAACCTGCCTAAAATGACAATTAAATAAACCTACTGCTGCTGTTTTTTTCCCCTTATTTTCAAAGAGAAATAAAATGTAAAACAAATTAAATAAAATAAACTAATCGTCAGATTGTTTTTCATAATGGCTTTATTTTTTACTTTGTTTCATTATGTGGTTGCTCAAAAATAAAATAAAACTGTATATAAATAAAACAAAATATGCCCTAACCAGCCACAAATGCAACAAGTGACAGGACAAGTAAAATCTCATTTGTCTAAAATCCTGCTGCACATAACTGAACATTAAACATTAAATATATTCTGAAAGGCTGAGAGTGTTGTTTCACATAGCAGTTTCACATTCAGCACTGATAGAGCAAAATACTTGCTGTTGGAAACTTGTCATATCATGACACATTCAAAACGATTATCAATATTCATATTTTCTTTTCTTTCTTTTTTTTCCTTTTTAAACCAAGGCAACATTTACAACAGAAAAAAGTTACTCAAAGGTTAGCAAAACATCAATAAAACAAGTAAGCATCTCAGATATGAACCTCTACCCTTAATTCCACAGCAGCACTTCTTACTGTCAGCACCACAGTAATAAACGCTCTAGACATGACGTGATTAGATACACCAGGTTGGTTGCTTTAGACTAATAAGTGATGTTTTGGCTCGCCCATCGATCCCACCTTTGGCTCATGTAGTGATTCAGTAACGTCTAATGTGGATCAGACAACCTGAGGGATCAGCGGTAGGCGGGCCTGAACCCATCCATGTGTTTACCTTATCCCCTTTGAACTGCTCCGGGAGCTGCCAGAAGAGCACGTCATCTGGGTGCAAGCTGAAACCATTGTAGACCAAAACATACTGGAGCATAGGCAGAAGGAAATACATAAAAGCTTGGATGAAGAGAAAAGTAGCAGATAAGCAAAGCATAGAGGAAAGTATGAGAGAAAAGAAATCTATTCCTGTCAGTCAGGCACAGCGATATCCATGCGGACCCCTGAGATACTGGATGAGCGCATCTCTGTGTGATGCGAGGCACGGATCAAGATGTCATCGAGGTCCGCGAGCACCATCATCAGGTGCTCCCGGGTTGCCGGCATGCCATCGGGACGCTGCCAGTGTTCCTACAGACCAGAAATTATCCATGTCATGCTAAACCACATATCTTGCTTCAATATGAATGACAGTATGGATGTATGGGTTCTCACCTCTCTTGTTTACCTTATCCCCTTTGAACTGCTCCGGGAGCTGCCAGAAGAGCACGTCATCTGGGTGCAAGCTGAAACCATTGTAGACCAAAACATACTGGAGCATAGGCAGAAGGAAATACATAAAAGCTTGGATGAAGAGAAAAGTAGCAGATAAGCAAAGCATAGAGGAAAGTATGAGAGAAAAGAAATCTATTCCTGTCAGTCACTGACTAACTTCAACAACTTCATCAAAATTCTTACAATAAAATATGGTAGTTAGAAATAAGAAGAGTTGGAAATTGAGTTTGGTTTAATATTTTATTAAAAAAAAAAAAGACTCTTTTCAAAAAACTAAAATGTCTATTCAATCTATACCAACAGGAAAAATCCACCCTTTGATCATCAATCCTTAACTAGCTTTTGCGTACTTTCCTAGATACGTAGATGACCTAATCCTCCACAGTCATACTTTGTTGAACATTAACCTCTATGATACACTGTTCGAAAGTTTGAGGTTGGTACAATTTTTCAATGTTTTCGAAAGAAATCTCTTACGTTCACCAAGGCTGCATTTATTTGATCAAAAATACAGTAAAAACACAAACAGCAATACTGTGAAATCTTATTCAATTTAAAACTAGTTTTCTACATTGATATATTTTAAAATGTCTTCAGCTCTTAAATTTTCATCAGCAGCCATTACTCCACTCTTCAGTGTCACACGATCCTTCAGAAATCATTCTAATATGCTGATTTGGTGCCCAAGAAACATTTATTATCAATGTTGTAAACAGTTGTGCTGCTAAATATTTTTTGTGGAAACAAACACTTTTTAATGTTACTTTGGATCAATTTAATGTGTTCCTGCTGACTGAAAATATTAATTTCTTTAAAAAAAAAAATCTATTTAATGAACCCAAACTTTTGAATGGTAGTGTATATTCAACTTAACCTAGACTGTGACCTTCCTGAGTTTCATTTTGGTTTTCCCAGAAAAGGGTGACACTTTCCCATGATTGCCAAGTAGAGTCACTGGTGACTACCTTGTTAGAAGGGCCAGGTCGTGGACCTCTAGGGAGACCAACAGTGTTTTTTCTCTGTTCCACCTGCTGATAAGACCAACATCCAAACCAAAAATCAACCAACATAACTTTGTGTATACAAGAAAATGTTTACTAGCATAAACAAGGGAAGTACTAAGCTACTAGCCACTGCATGAATGACAAGTTGACTAACCATTTTTTTTTTTCAAGTGTGTTTGTTGCATTTAAAAGTTAGAGTTCATCCAAAAGAGAAAGTTGTCACCCTCTTGTCATCGCAAACCTATATGACTTTCTTCTTTGGAACACAAAAGAAGATATGTTGGGGGGGATTCTTCATCCTTACAATAAAAGTCAATGGGACCCAATGATTTTTCCCACTGTGTTCCACAGTAAGTCATACAGATTTTGAATGAGGGTGAGTAAATTATAACAATTTCAATTTTTAGAGCGAAATATGCCTTTAAAACAATGCGAGATGCTCAAAAACAGCACAGGACAATGTAATGGACAAATCTAAAACTAGTCACTATTCAGTTAGTCTGTCATTGAATGACTAGTTGATGACTAGCCCTAGTGTAATCCTAACATGAACCTGCGTGAAAGCCACCAGTGAGAGCATACAGTACCTGAGATGAGTCAGGGTGAGAGGAATGGCCTGGGTCGTTTGAATGGGACTCAGAGGCCCTTAAAGAGGAAGTTATACCAGAATGGAAAGAAGGGGCACGCACACTTGACCGAGATAGAGAACTCTGGGCATCAAATGAAGAATGGGAAGTTTGAGAGGATGAAGAGAAAGAGAAGGGAGACTGCCCATTGGAGAAATTAGTGATGATTGACCAGATTTCATCATCAAGTTTGCGTACTTCATCAGCAGGATGCTAGTGAGAATAAGACAACGGATGGAACAGGAAATATAGTGACTCAAAGGCTTTGCTCAGACAGGCAGCAAATATTAGAGTTAGTATGTTCAAATCCATTCAGTTTGTTTCAGTTTTTTTAATTTTCATGATTAAAGAAAAGTTTTTATGAGTTTTAGAGTTTTAATGGATGCATTTAGAAATCTGATTTAAAAAAAAAATTTCCCTTAAAAGAAAAAGTTTACAAAAATGTCTGGAGCTACAGATATGTTCAAGTACATTCACTATTGCTCACTCTTTCCTCAAACAGTGAATGGGTTAGCAGTTGGACACAGTACATGTGTGAAATGCCCCTGGTTTGTTGTTTGAGAAAATCTCTTGGGTTGATGCTACAGTACAGTCATTATTATAGTAATCAATGAACACTACTGCTGAAACGTTTGAGATCAGGAAGATTTTTTAATGTTTTTGAAAAGGATTTTATATGCTCCCCAAGGTTGCATTTATTTGTTAATAAAGTAATATTGAGAAATATTAACACAGTTTAAAATAACCATTTTCTATCTGAATATATTTTCAAATTTAATTCATTACTGTGATGACATAGCTCCAGTCATCTACTCCAGAATTCTACTCCAGTCTTTAGTGTCACGTGATCCTTCAGAAATCATTCTAATGTACTGATTTGGTGCTCAAGAAACATTTCTTATTATTATCAATGCTGAAAACAGTTATAATGCTTCTCTTGTGGAAACCATGATACAGATTTTTTAAAACAAATATTTTGAAACATTATAAAATGGCTTCAGTGTCACTTTTGATCAGTTTAATGCATCTTTGCTAAATAAAATATTGAAGTATTTCTTTCAAGAAAAAAAAAATCATACGGACAACAAATTTTTGAACGGTAGACACATGGTCACTGAGTCTAAACAAATGAATGGATCAAACAGAGATGATCACTCATAGAGCGTGAACAGTCATTCCTATAGATCGGACCGGAAAAACAAACCAGATTTTTGTGCAGTATAAGCAAAGCCAAAGAGAGAGAATGAAGAGACAGATGTACCAAAACTGAGAGGAAAGAATGGGACATGCAGCCAAACAGATGATTAAATGCATGCAGGGAAGTGCTCAGTGTAAGAATCAGGATACCACGTATGCTCTCACCTCAAGTGTTCATTCTGTTTAAGTGGTGTCACTCATAAACAGCTAAATATCTTCCAACCTCAATTTGTTTCATGCAGTTTTTTCTCTCAAATTTTGTTCTATCGCTTTTAATTCAAACATCTACAGGTGAAGTTAATGCATGAAGATATTTGTGACCTTCACGGATTCTACTGGAATTCAGCATATCTGTCAGTTTTCCAGCATTTAATTTTCAGTGCAAACTCTCCGGCGGTCAGTTTATTAAAAGCATGGAAGAATTAGAGGGAGTTCCAACTTTCAGATTAAATTTAGTACATTCTGTTGCTAAAGAAATATCCATCAGTTATGTGAAACAGGAGGGTGTCACACTGTTGAAGTGCCTCTAGGATTCAGGTCAGTGGTAAGAACTAACCGTAAAAGTGAACTAATACCTCAGTGGCTCTTTTGGACATTAAGAGGTCTTTACCCATATCGTTCATTAGCTGCCATGCAGCCACGTCCCTTCTAAGTTGGTCATTTATCTATAGGGAGTCTCTCTAGTTTTGTGAATAAAACAATTTCTGTAATCTTATTACAAAATCTAAATGATAAACTAATGAACTACAAAGAACTAGTTACTTTTCTTTATGTACCATTTCTGTATGACTTGTATTTCTAGACAGCTAAAAGACTACATAAAAGAATACAAGCAAAACGCCACTGACCACTTTCATTTGAGTCATTTCATTTTTCTTTAAGACTTTGATAATGCCATTTTTCAGACACCACATTTACGAGTGTATGATGTTAAACCCTCAATTCTTAATAATTCAATAAATTATAAAATCACAAAAAAAGTGTGACCCCATGGTGTTACTAGGTGTCAACAGGGCCTTAGTATGATTAAAAATGCAGTCAGAATGTGTCTATGATGAAATCCCATGCACTTCAAATCACGATCAAGGCCAAATAAAACCATAACATGAGTAAATATGCAAAACATTCTGAAAAGATCAATGCTCAGATGACCCATTCATGCATCATTCTAATTCTAGAAATATGACAGGCCAACATCAGACACACTTTCAACAAACACGATCACTCTTTGAACCTGCAAGGATTACCTTGTGTGCTCGTCTAGTTCGAGCAGAGTAAGACTTCTAAAAAAGGCAAATAGATTCAGAAACACTTCAATCAGTGCATCGCATCCAAAACAATGAAAAAATCAAAATATAAAGACGCATCTGTCAAATTAAGCCTAAGCAAACACAATTTGTTGACACTGGTACCTACAGTACTATAGCCTTTGTGTAGACTCCAACCACTATGAAAACATTTCTAAGCAGTAGAAGAGCTGCCCTGACTAAGTACATTTTGAAAGAAAAGGTCTTGGCAGCATGCATTTGCAGAAAGAAATCCATTTGAAGAGAACTCAAAGCGGGAGACACAAAGACTTGTAAGAATGATAAAGTACATAACGCTGCCAGACTCTACCTTGTCTCCCTGATAGGCGCTGGGTAACTGCCAATAGTGTGGCTCCTGTCCAAGATAGTTAAAGTTAGTGTAGGAGAGTTGTGTTCCATCTGTGGACAGCTCTATGGAGAAGCCACTGTCAATGCGGTTGGTGCGCTGGCGGTTTACAAGAGCAAAACCTTGGTAGTTGCCAGGGGCAAAAATGGTGGAAACCTGGAGAAAAAAGGAAGGAAATGAACATATGCCTACACAGACTGATGAAAAGCACTGGTGTAACTCATCAGGCCTTACCACATCTCTATAGTGTCTGGAGCTGGAGCACTGCTGGGTGACGCCCATGCAGAAGCAGGACAGACAGCCATCTTTGTTAGCAGGACTGAGGTAGAAGGTCCCTTGCTTGCAAGTGGAACATGTTGAACCCTCAACGTTCATCTGAGTAAAAACAATTATGTTTTAAAACTGATGCAAATAATACACACACACAAACAAAAAAACCCAACATTTATTTTCTTACCTTGCAGCGACAGATTCCAGTTGCGCTACATCCTTCGCTTCCACTTTGGTCACAGCGGTAACAATCTATAAACATATTTTGTCTTAAATACACTTTTAATTTAGTAAAATATTGGTAAAGTATTTGAATGTAGGAGAAATTTTCATTTAATTTGATAATTATTGACATTTTTTTGTACTTATAACTTTAGGAAAAATTGTTACAGAACATTATTTTTGCCAGTATTACCACCATTACTGCCGACTTCAGTGCATCTTTGTCCAAGTTGGGGATTGCCAGTATATCCTGGGGCACATCTGAGGAAAAATAGACAACACCTTGGAAAAACAGATTCAAAGTGTCATGCAGTAAAAATGAAACCACATTAGGAATTAACAGAGACGTGACAGGACCTGCCGTGAACATCAAGAGCGATTTATGACTGCTATGAACTGAGTCACACCTCTTTGAGAATATGATTAATGCATAGAGCTTCTTCAAATACTTCCTGAACATTTTCAGACAAGCTAATATTGCTAACATAAAGGAACTTTGATTTGTGTGCAGATAATTGGTTCACGAAGGGGGAAAAAAGGTTAAAAGGTTAGGGAAAAGTAAATCCTAACAAGGGATATCCTACAGAAAACATGACATGTGTATGTGTAAAATGCTAAAGCTAATGATAGGAGTTAAAATGAACATTTCATGTTTGGTTAATGAAGCGTTACTGGAGCTTGGGGCTGTGGAGGTAACATAAGACAAAAAGATGTTTGAAAACAATGGCTTACTCTATAACAAATAATACCCAATATCAAGAAAATAATTTGGGAAATAACCAGCGTAAATGCTTAACACATGACATGAAATGTTTGTACATTTACAAGCAGTTATTGATTGTCAGATTCACATTTGGAATACCACAAGAAAAGTAAAAGAGCAAACCCCTCACACATTAGCATCTTTTAATGGCCACCACAAGAGAAATATTAGATCGCATATAACAAAGGATCCATAGCATAATGCCATGCTTCCAAGTTCAGGAGATGGATAAATTACAGCCAGTAACGCTCTCAACATCCCACAGATGCCGAGTCCTTCTCTCTTTGAAAAACTACTTTGCTGAACTAACAGGCTGAAATAAAGCCAGAGACAACCAGAAGGACCCAATCCAAGTGTCTAAGCAAGTAAAACCACCTTATCCCCAAGCCTGTGGAAGCTGAGGAACTTGACAAAAAGTCTTACCTGATAACTCGAGGTTCCAAGGTAGTCCAGACAAATGCATTATACACTAATACACTACAATAGAATTCAATACAATACACCACTACTTCAACAAACCTTTTAAAGGTATACTGCTGAAAATACAAAATACAACTTTTGCCATATTTGGGCAAATTGAGGTTCTATGTTGATGGAGTTCACAAACTTTACAAGACAATGAGTCGAGTAGGCAGTGTGGATAAATAAAGATGAATAGAATTGTATAAAAGTACACAACATAATGTCTGACTACTAAGTAGACAAAATAGTATAAACAGTACAATCAAGGCATCACATAATATTAATAAAACATTATTTCCATAATTCTGCTAAAAAAAACATTAGGGTCAGATCATTAAATAAAAATGCAAGGCACAACATGCTTGGTTTACAACATTCTTGATTTAAGAATTATGATGATTTGTAATACCACTTTTGCATCATAGTTTGTATTCAAACCTCAAGCTTGAACATTCAATACATTCTGCATAGTTCCTATGGGGGCTAAAAGAGGGGGAAAAGGTCCAACGTAACAAACTGGTATAATAATCCCCATAATATTTAGTAATCAGGAATGATTTTGACAGGAACTGCCAGCCTTCCAAGAACAATATAAAGGTTCTCGTCTTGTTTTAGCATGGATCTTTTTAATGTTTTCTGGCCCCTGTTATTCTTCATGAAGATGAAGTCTAAAATATTAATGGAGTTAGATGTGTTGCTCTGAGTTGATTTTCTTGGAGTAGTCGTTTTTACTTTGGGTTTAGGGGAGTGTAATCTTTTCTTGTCAGGTGATTTACTAGAAGCAGTTGTGTAGGTAAACTCCTCAGGTTGGTTGGACCTTAAGTCTGATGCACCTCTCGCTTCATGAGAAGGAACTAACTGATTTTGCTTGGAAGATTTAGTCTTGGAATGTCTTCTCTTTGTTTGAACATTGTGAGAAGATTTGCTGATGTTTGTGGCTTTTTTGTACGTTCTTACTACCAAATCATTTCTTTGAGTTTTCATAGATTTGGATGTTTTTTTGGAAGCAATACGTGCCCCTTTTTGTGGTTTGCTTGATGACTTGGAAGATTTTGCTGATTCTTCAATATGAGGGATTTTTGTATGCGATGGAGGAGGAATCTGAAATTTAGAAATTTCAGATTCTTCTTTAACTTGAGGCTTTGTAGGTGAATGGGATAGTTGATCATGTTTCCTTGCAGTTTTTTGAGACTCCGCAGACTTACCATTTACTTTTGGAGCACTTTTGTGGTGTTTTTGAGAAATTACATTTTGTCTGTTAATCCTTGCCCGTGATATAAGAGAAACTGTAGTCAGTGCCTTTATTTTTTGTTGATTCTGTTGCGTTTCATTGGAGGTAACCAAGGTTGAAAGCCTTTCAGAGGATGCAGTAAGAGGATGGCTGGCGATACCTTTGGGAACTGTTGATCTCCTAGAAGATTTACTATGATGTTTGTTGTCTGCCTTTGATGTGAAATTGATTTCAGTGTCTCCTCTTGTTGATATTGGTTGGATCCTTTTAGTTGAGAACTTTCCTTGCCTCTTAGTTGAACTTCCATTCATCGGGGAAAGTCCATCTTTTGCAAAGTTAGTTGTGGAGATAATATGTGGAGTTGGCAGGGTTTTGGGAATAACAGTTCTCATCTGAAATCTGCTGGTAGACATGCGCGTAATCCAAGCTGTAGTCAAGGCTGGAATCCGGGTGGTAGTAACCACAGCGATTTCTCTTTGATCCTGTGGTGGACGTGCCATATGACGTGCACGTTTGACTTTGTCTAACTCTTGTGCTAGTGCAGTGAAGCCATCAATCAGTATCTCAAGTTTTTGTTCTAGTTTACTTAGTCTTGTTTTAATGTCTGTGTATTTGTTGGTCAACTCATTGATTCTGTCTTTCCTGTCATTTGGAGACAAAACACTGGCTAGTGTCTTCAGCTGAGAGCTGAAGTGACTCTGGTGCTTCGTCATGTTCTCGAGGCTGTCTTTTATGTCCAGCGTGTTGCTCTCAAGCATACTGAGGTGCTGGTTGAAGTGATTCGTGTGCATCCTCAAGAGCAGCTGGAAGCTCTGCTGTCGTGCCTCAGGACTTGGTGTGTAACGTGGAGGCCCACGAGTCCAACGGTGATTTAAGCTACGTATAGTTGTTGACAGCAAAGATCTTGTAGTTCTTTCAGGTACTGAAAAAGTACTATCTTCTGTTCTATCAAAGTATTCACCAATGTTATGGCCAGTTGTATCCAGAGCTTGCCTCTTCCCAGGGCTGAGGTAGAAAGCATCATCACATGTAGTGGGAAGGAAATCTTTTGAACCTTCTAGGAAGAAGTCCCCGCAGTTGGAAATGCTGAGAGCCATGATAAGACAGGGCACGTTGGAACCAAATTTTAAAAATATATATACAAGCCATTTGTTTTGTTTTTTTATCCCAGACACCCAAAAGCTTTTGCACTCTGAGCGAGTGACAAGGATCCAAAATCCATGTCATCAACTTGTTTATGTTTCAGTATGGGAAGCATAAACAACCCTAGAGACCCACAAACGTCTAGAAGAAGAGTTTGAAATAAGAAAAAGTTGCTCAAAATGCAGCAAAGGCTTTACAAAGATGCACTGAAGCATTAAAAAGGATGCAACTCCTGTTACAAGTGACATTATGCAATTAATTAATTCAACACCTTCAAAAAGAGATCTCAGCCTTGCTGACAGTAAGAAGGAACTTTACTCTCACAGTAGAGAAGCGAAACGTTTATGCTTGAAAAAGATGCCGATTTCAGACGTACCGCACACAAATATTTTAAGCACCACTGCTTCCACTTATAAACTCCTCCAAAAATGCCTTCAGACATTGACACTTTGGTATGAGTGGCACTGATTCAAGGCTTGCTTCTCCCATACCAACGGACAAATGCCATTCAATCACAAATGGTTGAAAAGATGCTGGAATGCAACAGACACATGCTTTCTGGCAGTAGATAAAGGGATGCCGATCACCTCCATCACCAGTTTGGCCAAGCCCAGCTTTACTAGCATACTGAATGGGAGGTTTACCCTCTCATTGGACCATAGACACTTACCTTTCACAGCGTCTTCCAGTATAACCAGCAGGACATTCACATGTGGGCTGTCCATCTGAGTCCAAGTAACAAGATGAAGGCCTTCGGAAGAAGAAAAGTATTAGATTGGATGAATATGAATTATAGGTTATGCCTGAAGGGCATACCTATAACCTCTTTATCTGAAAAAAATGTCTTTGATAAAGTTAATAGAGAAAGGCAAACTCACTGGCTACTGAAGTGTCCTAGACAAGGACAGGGTCTACATGCCTGTGGATCACCAGTCCTTGGATTTCCATAGAAACCAGGGAGGCAGTTTTCACAACGGCTCCCAACCGTGTTATGTAGGCAATTCTAAAACAGAAGGGAAAATGTGGTCGACTAGGGAGGACGGCTAGATTGTATTTTTTCTTATATATTTCTGTAATACAGACTTTCTTGACTAGTGATTCAAGAACCAACTAGTTGATTAATGAGGAAGACTAATTTATGTTTTTTATTCATATACATTTTTTGGTCTTTGATTTTATTGATGATAGTATGTCCAATAACTGACAATTTAATTATTCAGGCTGACTAGTTTGATGAATTAGATCATTTGAATTAAATTTTATTTTTTGTATACATTTTTTGGTTTTGATTTTATTCACAATAAATGACCAGTCATCCGACTAGTTAATTACTGAGGCTCAGTAGTTTATGGAGGTTCATTTCTTTTATAGACTTATTGCTTTGATTTTAATTTTCACAGTAGTTGACTAGTCGACTTGTCATTCAATAACTTCTTTTTTTTTTTTCTTTTTTTTTGGTGCTTTATTTAACTGTTTCTGAACAACCCCCCCTGCTAAGCCTGTAACCTCCCTGCTAAGAAACTAGTCAAACTAGGGTCAGGTGAACCCAAATCCAGCCTAATTATAAAGGGGTTCCAGTTACAACTGATTAGTCAACTAGTAAAGGCAACTGACCGACTAGCTAATTTTTAATATACATTATGTTGTTTTGCACATCCCTACTCCACACAAATCTCTATAAGTCATCCAGAAACAGCATAATCACTGCAATGGAAAGGTTAACTCACCAGGCATTCTTCAGTCGCTAAGTCACAGCCGCTGGCATGCCCGTGGCAGTCACACTTCTCACAGGTGCCAAGATAAAGTCCCGGTGTACGGGTGTAGCCGACATCACAGTCCTGCAAACAATGGGTGAGTCAGAGGTGGCTGGGTTCACAGGTGTCTATGCCGAAGCTATGAAACTCTGCATCCATTCTCTTAATTGACATAGAGCTTTAGAGCTAACGTGTTCCATGAGTTGCTAAGAACTTACATTTGGAGATCAAGAAAAATGAATAAAAGACTGTTATTAACTTGACAGGCAGAACCTCTGCTTAAGGCGAAGGTTTTTGCATCAACTCAGGCGGACACAAGTTCACACAGACTGAATGTTGCTATTTGAAGTCGTAATATACCTGGCAAGAAGGTCCTGTGTATCCTTGAGGACATGCGCACTCCTCCACCTCCAGAGCCCTCTCGTTTCCTGTAGAGTGGGGCACTGCAATGTCCATTTGTATATTGGAGACACTAAACAGGAGAGATTGAGATTAAACACTAATATCCTGTTCACAAAATCAGTTAAGCGACAGATAGGAGCCAAACAGGACAATGTGTTGCCATCCAGAGGATGTAAATATAAAGGACATCAAGAGTCAATGTATAATTAAGGAGCAAGAGCAAAATTGAAAGTGCAAAGTTACCTGCTCTCAGCCATATTGTCTGCATAAGTCGCTCTGATCATAAATATGCTGATATCTGCCAAAGCCATCAGCAGGTGCTCTCTAGTACATGGCTGTCCATCTGACCGTCTCCATGCAGACTGTGGGGATAACAGGCAATGGGAATTCATAGAGCAAATCAAGCTAGATCAAGTTTCACTTTATGGCCTTAAAAAAAATAAAAAAATAAATAAAAATAAAAATTATATATATATATATAATATATTATTTATTTAAAATGCAATATTTATTGTAAATTAATAAATGCAGTATGATTAAGATGACTAATTATTAATTTATTTGAAAAATAAAATGTATTTTTATAAACAACAAATTGCTATTATTATTTGTTTATAGTAGTAGTAGTAAAAGTAGTAGTAAAAAGTAGTAAACAAAAAACATACAATTAATACATTATTAAATACAGCTCCAAAATATGTAATTTAAATTAAAAAAGACACTTTGTACCAAACACCCAAAAAAGAGAAGTAAATATATAAATATATATATATATATATATATATATTTGCAACACACCTCTCTAAAAGGCACGGTGATGGTGGCTGGTACTATAGGAAGTGGTTTGTTCTGTGAATAATGCTCCAGGAAGATGCCACTGCCTTGGAGAACCACATCAGGTCGTCTATCAATCACTAGTGAACGAGCCTGTGGCTCATAATGCATCCTGTACTGCAGTTCTCCACCATATGCTGTGACCTTTACACAGGACAGAAAAACAAGTTTTGAAAAACAGCACACTGACATGTGCCATATTACCTGACGAAGGTCAAATTGTACATATGGCATTGTATTGCATTGGATGTTCTCACCTTGTCCCCTCTAAAAGTCTGAGGCAGGACCCAATAGTAGATGTCATTAGGGATACTGGTGAAGGATCGGTAGACCACCTCTGAACTTGCTCTCTGGGTGATGCCCTCAGAGATGGTCCTAGTGTTTGCTGCATTGGAAAGGGTGAAGAGCTGGCCATTGACACCACCTCGAACCTTCAGATTAACCAACAAATAAATGTATAAAAATTTTTTTAAAACAACCATTCAAAATCACTTACAGGTACAACTATGACAAGATTAGAGGATGTGGTTACCTGATCTCTGCTCCAGGTTGAACTGGCACACTGTTTTGTAACTCCCATACAGAAACACTGCAAGCAACCTTCAGGATTATCAGCCGCCAAATTAAAAGCGCCATTCTTACACTCATCACAAAGAGCACCAACCACATTGGCCTGCACAACAGAAGATCCAACACTGTTTGAATATTTATATTCTACTGACATTGTTATACATTACCATTCAAAGCTTGGGGTCAGTAGGATTTTTTTTTGTTTTTTTTTTGGAAGAATTAATAATTTGATTTAGCCTGGATGCATTAAATTGAAGTTAAAGACAATACATTTATCATTTTTAAGATAACCATTTCAAATATTGTTCTTTCAAACTTTCTATTCATCAAGGAAGCCAGAAAAAATGCATCACACTTTCCACAAAAATATTAAGCAGCACAACTGTTAACACTGATAATAATGTTTCTTGAGCAGCAAATCGGTACATTAGAATGATTTCTGAAGGATCATGTGACACTGAAGACTGGAGTAACGGCTGCTGAAAATTCAGCTTTGCCTTCACAGAAATGCATTACATTTTAAAATATATAAAGATAGAAAACAGTTGCTTTACTGTATTTCTGACCAAATAAATGCAGCCTAGGTATGAGCATAAATCTTTCCGATTCCAAACTTCCTAATGGTGGTGTATTTAAAAAGTAACTGTAGTGCAATTTAATACCTTGCAGTAGCATGGTTTGCTGATGGGATTGATGGTTCCTCTGTTATCACACTTGGAAATCACTGAACAGGGACAAGAACACCATATGGTTGCCAATTACACCTGGAATGCTTTGAACATCCTGGCCACGAACAGCTGGCATTGCAGCATACAGTGCACTGAGTATTAATCATTATCTAAAGCTTCACTTGACCTTCAAGGTAAAATGAGGCAGAAATTCCAAGAAAAGAAATAGCTAAAGGCGAGTAAATAAATCTTGCCTCTAATATTAATCTAATAAATCATTTACTACCACAACTGTAAACAAAAATGAAGGAAAAATGCTCACGGCTAGCAGCAGGGACACATTTGCCGTTGGGCTGAATAGGGTTGCCATCATATCCTGGAGCACATCTGTGGCAAAAAAATAAAATAAAAAATGCAGATGATGACATATTTCTTATGCACTCAGCACCACAAAATGTAGTGTTAAAACAACGATATGCAAAAGAGCTGCTCCATTACTTCTCACAACGTCGCCCTGTGTAACCGGGTCTGCAGGCGTCACATGTTGCCTGGTTGTCATGGTCCAGGAAGCAAGTATCTGAAAACCTTTGAACAAATCAACAGACCAGTTTAACATTTCACAAAGATGTTTTGTCAAAGTTCCATTCAAATAATCTAAATTACTATTACTATTATTAATACTAATAATATATCATCATAAGTAAAAAAAAATAAATAAATGTAAATGATTATTTTCAGAATTAAATTATTATTATTATTATAAATCATTTAGATTACATCATGTTAAATACAGATGTTTCAAAAAAAAAAAAAAGATTATTTTCAGAACAACATTATTCTATTATTACATATTATTTTAGATAATTTTTATATTATATACACAGGTTTGATATCTTTACCGTCGAGACGTCTCTGTGTATGGACAAGGACAAGGTTTGCAGTCATCATATCGTCCTCGACTTGGGTCACCGAAGAAGCCAGGCTTGCATTTGTCACACTGAGGTCCTTCTGTGTTATGCTGACAACTCTGTCACATGGCATTTACACATCAGTGTGTGATGTACAGTGATCTACTAACTGATGTAGTGTATTAGCTATCTACATATTTATAATGCATAGAAACCCTTATCCTTACCAGACAGTGTCCACTAATAGGGTCACAGGCACTGGCATGACCATTGCAGTTACAGCCAGCGCAGATGCCCAGGTAGGGTCCAGGTGCCCGCTCGAAACCAGGGGAGCAGGACTCACAAGACAGGCCTGAATACCCAGCAGGACATCTGTTTGAGATCAACAGTTCGCACAGATTAACACTTTCACACAGAATTCTCAAAAAAAAAATCAGCTTCTGGATTTTTAAAGTGACAAAGAAGAGGTGATTTAAGAGGAGCTTGATATTTTCTGACAGGCCTGTAATCCTATCTGTTGATTTAAATGCACACTAACCTGCACTCCTCCACGTCTCTCGGGTTCCCCTGCAGGGTGAACTCTTTGCTGGTGGTATCCATGCTGATGTCACTCAGACTGACACTGGCCATGCGGTTGTCATAAATGGTGCGAATGTGGATGCTCTCCAAATTGGCCAAGGTCATCATGAGGTCATCACGAGTTACTGCTCGTCCTGAAGAGTGCTGCCAGTTTTCCTGAGACACAGAGACAGAGAGGTGAATAACACTAACAAGCAACACTGCTGCAAAACCACTGTAAACAAAAATATCTTTTAAGAATCACTATTTGTTTGTTTTTTATGGTACATGGTATTAATACGGTTTTATTTGTCAGTTTTACACAAATGTTTTAGCAGTGTAGAGCTGGCAATACTGCAAATTCATAACAATTTTACATTTCTTAAAATATGCATAAAAAAAATTAATTTACATTTGATGTGATTTTTTATTTTTAGACCAAATTAAATAACCTTGAGTTCTGTCAGCATCTCTTGTCAACAGCAAGTGTATGCCATGGTTATGACTTAAAGTTTTTTTCTCAGTACTTCAAAGCACAACTGTTAATTACAATACAAAATAAAATAAAAATGTAAAAAAAAAAAAAATAAATTCAAATAAAAATTATATACACAATACAGTTCAAAATTCTGGGGTAGGTAAGTTTTTTTTTTTATTAATGATCAAAAGTGACACTAAAGACATTTTTAATATTACTAAAGTGTTCTATTTCATATAAATGCTGTTCTTTTGACCTTTCTACTAATCTTGGAAAAAAATGTGTCACAGTTTCCACAAAAATTAAGCCATTTTCAACTGTAATATTAATAATAGGAAACATTTCTTGAGCAGCAAATCAGCATATTAGAATGATTACTGAAGGATCATGTGACACTGAAGACTGGAGTAATGGCAGCTGAAAATTCAGCTTTAATATCACAGGAATAAATTACATTATAATATTTTAAATTAGAAAGCAGTTATTTTAAATTGTAATAATGATGTTTAACAATATTAATGTTTCACTGTATTTTTATCAAATAAATGTAACCTTGGTGAGCAAAAGAGTCTACTATCTTTGAATGATAGTGTGCATATATTTTATAAAAATATATTTTATATACTTAAGCATTTCACATATGTGGCTCACCTCTGTAAACTTGATCTCTCTATGGTTGATTGTGTCAGGTAAAGTGGGGTCGCCTCTGCGGTAAATACATTTCTGCCCGTTGCCGCTCAGCACAACATCAGGTTTCTCCTTTGGTTGCGATCCATCTCGCTGCAGTGAGTAACTCACCTTAAACTTCAGATAGCCTCCATACGAGTCGACCTGCACAACACAGACACAGTGTCCAGAATACCAAGACGTCGAAGAGCTTCAATGCATATTTCACACATGCTTCCCAAGACAATCTAGCTACCACATCACAGTGACAGTGAGAAAAGAGACAGCAAATGATAGGGAGAAGATGGAAATGGGATTGAGCAAAAACAGGAAGATACGGATTAGTCAATGTTTTATTGAGCTCCTATTTATATTTGTTCAGTAGAGTAGTGAGGAGGGGAGAGAAACCTTGTTGCCCAGGAACTGGCGAGGCAGAGACCAATAGGTGTCTTGATCGAGGAAATGGCGAGACAGATCCACTAGCTGGAACTCCTCACTCTCTGGATTGATCAACATCTGAGTGTTGGAGAGATGTGGTGGAGTGCTTAGATGATTCGGAAGTGACACATTGACTCCTGTGGATTAAAAAAAGACAGAGACAGACAAGAGAAAAGTAGTGTACCATATTTTCGTATATCCCAGTGTATTATTTGTTACTTTAACCCCAATAAAACCTACTGTATCATATTTGATATGCAAATCTCTAAGGCCTCTAAATTATAAACACGATCAAATCTTTATTGAAAAACCTGTTGTACATAATCTACTGCATTCCTTTTAGTTGACAGTTTATACTTTTTTAGTATTATTCTAAAAACGTCCACCTTTAGGTCATGGTGCACATCTCTTTTTACTATGAAATTTGTAAAGGTTTTAATAAAGTAAATATAAGAATAGCTTTTATTCTTTTAGTAATATTTCAAGATGAACACTTACCGGACTAAAGCAACTTAGGTTTACTTGATTATCCATACAACCTTTTTTTTTTTTTTAAATTGTGCTAAATTGTGTCTATCAAATATCAGGTTTTTGATGAACATTTATTTATACATCTATCAATCATCATTGTTTTGCATTGCATTATGTTTGTTTAAAATATGTTTTGCCCCCCACAATTAAAACTATAGAGCTTTGATCATAAAGCATGTAAATATAATTCTACAAAGACATAATACTGAGATATGGAGTGATATCTGATATTTAAATGCATTTTATCTAAGCAATCTGCTATATAGTTATAAAATTTACAAGATTACAAGCTAACTGAAATTCATCTTTGTGGCCATACAAATATCAGCAACTGCACCGAATTGCATATTTTTGCTTCAATTTATACCTTTGAACAAAAATGGCTTGTTTTCCACCTTGAGCTTAAATGACACTCAACTAAAAACACATGCATATTTTTTATATATTATGTCTAAACACTCAAACTGTTCCATTAAAAAAATCTGACTAATATTTCATGTCAGGCTTTACAGGGTTAGTGATAAATATCATGTGTTACACACAAGATGACACCAAAAGTTGCCACAACATCTACATTCTCCAATTGTAAATCCATAAACATAAATGGAAAACTCCAAATTTTGAATCAGTTGAGTACCTTTGAAGTCATCCTCCTCTGTGAAGCGCAGTGTGATTTGGCTGCGGTAGCGACCGGTGCTCTGACAGTTCTTTGTGATGCCAAAACAGAAGCATGGCATGCAGTGACCGCCCACGCTAAAGTGCCCATCACGGCAGTTACCTGCTAACACATACAGAGAGGATGACACAACTGGACAAGAACGACATGGAAGACAAAGGATGGTAAGACCACCACTGTCAGGTTTGAGCTGGATCACAGTCATCATGAGACCACAATGTCACATCAAACGGTCAAAAAAAAACAGTAGGATAACCTGTGTCTCACAAATAAAAGATGACATCTTTCTTCGGAAAAGAAATGCATCAGATGAGAACAAACATATAATACAGAATACACAGTAATCCAAAATGTTCGCACCATATGGAGCTGGTGCAGTACCTGGGTTTGGTCTCTGAGACAGGCTGAGGACCCCATCAGGAATGGCAAACACTAGGCCTTTAGCGTTGATGGCCTCACAGGTGTACGCGCCCTGGTCACCTTCCTTCACGTCACGGATGGTGATCGTTCCTCGCCCATTCTCATTGCTCATTGTGATTCTGTCAACAGAATCATGTTTAAATTAGGGCAGTTTCGAGACCCCAGCATTCAGTTTCATTCCTTGTCCTCTGTCCAGCTGTTTTTTAATGAAAGAACGCGTCCTATGTAAATGGTTCCAACGAAATAATATTTCATTTATGGTCAATGATGTGCTTGTTTAATGTGTTAATTTAATTAATAATTTATTGCAATAAAATTAACACATTCTACTAACAGTCCTAGTTTAAAAACTTACATATTCATGCCCATGACTCAGGAGCCTACTCAACTTATTTTAATTTATTATTTTAATATTAATTATTTAATTACACATTTGTGTTGTGTGTGGTTTTTTTGTTTGTTTGTTTTTTGCTGTGTATTTTATTTTCTGTTTTATTCTACGTAATTATTTGTAGTTTTGTTAATTGAAGTGACTTTGGAAATGTAACTTGTGACAAATGGGTCTGCTATTTGTATAGGTATTAGTCCATGTAGAAAAATCCAATAAAGAAATGAAAAAAAAAAAAAAAATCTGGTTATGAAAGACAAATACAAAAATGTTGCCTTAAAAATGCTTAAAAATTTTTTTTTTTTAAATCACATTTGACAGAAAAAACCTACAATAGCCTAGAAATTATTACACAGAAGGAGAGCACATGCTGAGGAGCAAATTAAATATCATTCTCTGGTTATATATTAATAATGTCCAATAATTATGATAAATAATAATGGCAAAGAAGCAACATCAGAAGACGATCTCCTCTGAGATTCAATAATTGGAAAAGAGACAGTTCACAACCATTTTGCCATTGCTTATTGAGTACATGAAGTACTGCCCTCTGTTTTCACTTAGACTAGTGCTGAAGTTATTCATTTACCTATTTATAGAGTTCAGCAAAGAGAGTTCTAGGAATACAATAGGAATGGATGAAACCACAAGTATTCTTAACTTTGCGTTTATTCAGCCTTTAAGAGAATATGGACTCTATGACTTCAACATAGATTGTGGACTGTAGATTGTGATTTAACATAGATTGTGATCTTGATCGTTTCAGAGTTTTTAATCCACAATGCTTATTACATCCTAACCTACCTGCTATTGGTTGGTAAGTGTCCCCAATTAAGACGCCATGTGATGATGGGAACAGGTACACCAATGGCAGAACAAGTAAAGGTCACAGTGTCTCCCCGCGCTGCTGTGATGGACTCTTCTGGCGGGACGGTCACAGTGGGAGGTGCTTGGGTACAATGAAAGAGAACGCATAGTATAATCATTTTACAGTACAATCAATTTCAATCTACATATTTTACTGTATTACATGAATGCTAACATAGTAAAAGAGACATATGGACAAAAGAAACCACACACGCAGCAAGTATTTGATTCTAAATTGGCAGCCTGGGACAGCAGCACCAGTTTTATTTGGCAGATTCATTCAGTGAGATCAGCCAGCCAGCCAGAAACAATACCAAAGCCGCCTGTTAAATAAGCTACAAGCGCAAGATATATGGGATATGAGATCTATATGTTACTGAAAAGCTGTATGAGTGAGACAAAACAAGCTGGTGGACATGAATCTTTCTTTGCAGACCATAAACACACAATTTTCAGGATTTGGAAGTCAAAGTGAGTATGACAGTGAAAAATAAGTGGAGACAAAAGAGTTATAGTGTTTGGAATGACATGACAATCAATGTTTACTTGTTAAAGATTAATTGGATTGTAATGCCTTACCACAGTCATATTCATCAGAGCGGTCGGCGCAGTCCGGCTCCTCGTCACACTGGTAACTGGCAGGAATGCATGTGCGGTCAGACAAACACACAAACTGCTCTGGGGCACATGTGTCCCCTGGACGTTTAGTGGCTGAAGGAATAAGAAAAAAAAATCAATTATTAGCAAAGTGAGTTTTTGTGTAACAGGTTTCCATCTGTGGATGAAAGCTCGTGTCTGACTTACGGCAGTTCATCTCATCGGAGTTGTCCTGACAGTCATTATCCCCATCACAACGCCACAGTTTCAGGGCACAGCGGCCGTTCTGACACTTAAACTCATTGGGTTCACAGGGAGACGGAGTTCCTTTGCAATTACAAATATAGTTGTATAGTAAATGCAGAGTTCAGACAAATATTATCACCAGCATAACATGCTTGATTATAAATAAGTGGTTTTAATTCTGTGGTAAATGTTATGGTTACAGCACACTTGTGTCCTACTGCACACTTGTGTCCACACGCCATTTGTCCTACCACAATTGAACTCGTCGCTGCCATCAGAGCAGTCCGTTTCACCATCACACACGTAGTCCCGTGAGATACACTGTCCGTTCTGACAGGCGGCCTGGTCTGCACGGCAGGGTCCTGGGCCAGGTGGGGGTCTGGTTTTAGGAGGCGTAGATGGAGTAGGGCGTACAGGAACACCTTTGAAAATAAATGATATAATTAGGGCTGTCAATTAATTAAAAACACAAATGAAATTAAATATATGCTAACAATTTAAAGGAATAGTTCACGCAAAAATGAAAATTACCCCATGATTTACTCACCCTCAAGCCATCCTAGGTGTATATGATTTTTATTCTTTCAGACGAATCCAATCAGGGTTAAATTAAAAAAATATTCTGACTCTTCCAAGCTTTATAATGGCAGTCAATTGTGGTCGAGATTTTGAAGCCCAAAAAAGTGCATCCATCCATCAAAAAAAGTGCTTCACGCGGCTCCGGGGGGTGTTAAAAAAGGCCTTCTGAAGTGAATCGATGCATTTGTGTAAGAAAAATATCCATATTTAATTTATAAACCGTAATCTCTAGCTTCCGCTAACTGTCGTACACGCTTTCATGAGAGAGCGGTGTTCCAGCGGATGACGAATGACGTAGGCGTAGCGTAAGCTCTGGTGAGAAGAGACAAATGCGGAAGCGCAGAGGAGAAAGCAAAACAAAACACCGGTCATGAATTAGATGAGGATTTGTAAAGGAAAATGTCAGAGGATTTTGATACAAGTCAAGAGGAAACTGGTTTTCGTTAGCTGTAAACAAAACTTGGTTCTCGCGAGACTATAGCATGTTCTCTACGTCATCCGCTGGAACGGCACTCTCTCATGAACACGTGTACGATAGTTAGTCGAAGCTAGAGATTACGGTTTATGAAGTTTTAAATATGGATATTTTTCTTACACAAACGCATCACTTCACTTCATAAGGCCTTTTTTAACCCCCCGGAGCCGAGTGGAGCACTTTTTTTGATGGATGGACGCACTTTTTTGGGCTTCAAAATTTCGACCACAATTGACTGCCATTATTAAGCTTGGAAGAGCCAGAACATTTTTTAATATAACTCTGATTGGATTTGTCTGAAAGAAGAATGTCATATACACCTAGGATGGCTTGAGGGTGAGTAAATCATGGGCTAATTTAAATTTTTGGGTGAACTATCCCTTTAAAGTCATTACGGTGTCAAGCATCGTAAAGCACTGAATATACACTACAAAAAGTACCTTTAAAGGTCAATATTTATTTTGATTTATTTACATATTGAAAAAAAAAAAAAAAAGATCCTATGCAATGTATTAAATTAATGTTTCATTGCCAAAAATTAAATAAAATACAAATATATATTAAAAATAATATAAATTTTATGGATGATATCAAAGTGCATTTAGATGGTGTTAGTCAGTTACATTAACAAAGCAATGGCACTCATTTCTGAGATAAATGAGGAAGCAATCTCACTCACCACAGTTCATTTCATCACTTAAGTCACTGCAGTCAGGCCGTTTGTCACACACATACTCCACAGGGATACACGCAAGCCCATCCTGACATCTGAACTCATCTGACAAACATTCTCTGGCACTGGGAATCACTGAGGTGGTAGAGACACATATTCAATGCTGTGACGCACTGTACGCAATGCAATGCAGTGATCCAAGAAAAACTGTACATGATGCTTTGTTGAAAGATGTTTCAATGATTCACTGCAAGCCTTGCCATGCTGGACCTGCCATCCTTCATCCTTCAAGAGGATACAAAAATGCTTTGTTCACACAGGCAATGAAAATCCGCTTCCAACACAAAATCTGTTTAGCTTTTATAGTCTTAATAGAAAGAAAGAAAGAAAGAAAGAAAGAAAGAAAATTCAATTTGGCTTGAATCCAATTAAAGTCCGATTTTTTTGTGGTTTTTTTTTTTTTTTTGCTTTTGTAATGCACAGTCTGAAGGTCAGGTCAGTTTTCTTTTCTTTTTTTCTTTTACGAACTGTAGACAGTCAGTCCTGAAGATTGGATTTGAAAATCAAATCAGATTTATGTGCAATGTGAACAAAGCTAAAGTGCAAATCTGTATAATTCTGGCTTTTCTATTCAGTCCTGAATTGTCTTATCTGGTACCTTAATCTGAAAGTAAAAATATGGAAAGCTTAGACTGGAAAAACTTCAATCCCAACACGTATGAAAAACAAAACTAGATATTGCAAACACAAACAGGTTACATCGTCTGAAAATGATACTCCAAGATAGGTGCATTCCTGACATCAGCTTCACTTCAAATCAAAGACAAGCCATGCAAAGCCTTTTGTTCTTCTGGTCATACTCAGGTCTTCATCATAGTGCACACATGCATATAGGTTTCATTCTTTATACAGCCACTACAAATGCTGCAAATTCCTTCAGTTGTCCTAAGTAAACAAGACTGGACTGTGTTCCAATACATTATTGTCTCCATGCAGCAGACCTGGTTGAGGACAAACCTGGCACAACGATGGGCTCCACAGGAGGAGGAGTATCAGCTATGAACCAGACCATAACCAGACATTATCTGACATTATCTGATAATCTATAACATTATCTATACTACATTGTTGAATGATGACTAGTTCTTTACAGAACTGCAATAATTAATAGTTATATAAACAATAAAGTGTAAAATACAAGGGTAAAAATGCAAGGTTGGATTTGACAATTTTAACACATTATCAGAATGATTATTATTGTTGTTATTATTATTATTATTCTTTTTTATAACGCCATGTCAGCAGCAAGGCTATCTTCATGACAAGAACAAAGTGAATAACGAGAGTCATACAATTAACAACATTTAAGATTAATACAAGACAAAACTTCTAAAATACCTTCAGGTGATTCTTTATATATATATATATATCTCTCAGTTAAATACATATCTCTGAATAAAAATGTTGTCTATTAACATTTAAAACTGTGCAATCCAGTAAAATATGTTTAACAGTGTTATGAAGGCATGATGGTGCTTCTTCACCTTTCAATAAATAAGGTGTGCATTTTGAATAACCTAAATGATTCCTAGTAAAAAGAACCTGACCATACATAGATTTGGAATTACTTATTCTACGAGTTACTTCATATAACTTATTTCTGTGGCATTTATCCCATTTCCTCTGTCACCTGTTATTAATATAAGAGTTTATTACTGGTCAAGGTAATTTTTGTTGTTTATAATAATAGTAATAATAATAATAATGATGATGATGATGATGATGGTGTTAATTTCTTATTCTGACATTTATAAACCTGCAAAATGTCTTTGTCAATATCTGATGATTTTGATGATAAAATGTTATTTGGCTTATTACTATTATTAATGTTATTATTATTATTATCATTCTAAATTATTATTATTCTAAATTATTCAGCAATTTATAAGACTGCAAATATAGTGTCTGTTATACGGTTTGTTTATAAATAAATATTAATATTAATACTATCAAATCAAACTATAAAAAAACGGAACATACCTTCTCCAAGCCGTCTGAACTGGAAGCCTATTACTGAGGTATCGTAAGAGGCAATGGTGCCCTCTTTAACCACTGAGAACAGGACATCTCTGATCTGTGTTTCATTAGAGTTATTATCCGAGCCGACGTCCAGCTCCACAAACACATCTTTGCCAATTTTCCTGCAAATGTACACAGAGCACAGTTCATCAAAACAACAGTTCAAACAAACCAACCACAAAAACCAACTTAAGATGGTTTGTTGGTATCCCAAGTCTGGTCTGTTTGCAGTTTTTACAGAAGGTTTGGACACCAGCTTGGCCAGGCTAGAAGACCAGCTGGTTTAAGATGTTTTTGAGCAGAGTGATCATACTAAGTCCCATAATGCAAAAACAGGACTTGATTATTTGACTATTTGAAATGAATTATTTGAAATGAATTCCCTAATGATTATAAAAGGTAACCGACTATGCTTATACATTAGAAGATGCACTATTACATTAGTGTTCAAAATTGAAAATGGTGTTTACTTAATGAGAACCACATTGACTGTCTGCTGTCCTGGTATCCTGTTGTAGTCAGACTCAAGCTGTGGAGAAGATAAACACCATTAATCACCACATACTGGCCTTGCCTTACAAAGGCCTTTTTTTTATAGACAAAACATTGTTTTAAATCAGAAGACAGGCATGAGATCAATAATATGAACCAATCGGCAGGTGGAGCACACCCTTAATTATCGTGAAAACTCTCTTAATGTATTTCTTAAGCTCACAGTCATTGAGTAGATGCACATACCGTATCGAAGACAGCAGATGATATCTCTATGAAAGCAGGAGAGTAGATGTCATCAAGTTCAGGCCCATACTGGAATGAGTTTGTGAAGTTCACCAGTGCCCGATAGTAAACTAGAAACAAGGCGGCAGCTGTCAGACTCACAATAACAGTACCTGAAAATAATCATTACACCTAAGATGGCTTGAGGGTGAGTAAATCATGGGTGAATTTTAATTTTTGGATGGACTATCCCTTTAATATTATTGCTAATATACTACAATAATTATCTTTACAATGTTATCTTTTATGAATTGTAAATTACAATTTGTAATTTTTTTTTTTAAAAATATTTTATAGATTTCATATTACATATAGAAATTATTAATATAAATTTATTCTTTAAACTTTTTTACTATACAAAAGTTAGTTCTAAGCAATGGTATTATAATTATGTCAGAAAGCTGATCATTATTTTCATGTTATGGCTGATCATTAAATATACGGACTATAAATGTCCAATAATACAATTCTGCACTGTTTTGTCAAAATAAATCAAAAATAAAACACTAAACACTAAAATAAGTCATATTAAATTAACTACACTTGAATTCAGACATCACTATAAATGTACAGCATAAAAAAATGGATATTCATTTTAAAATCTACTAAAGATTACATTTCACAGTGTTATTCAATTATTAGTGTTTTTAAAATTGAACTTTAACTGAGGATTAGATGACAGAAGTTTCTTTCTTTCAAGACAATATAAATGTAAACATTAACATGAACTTAAATATACAATTTCTACAGATATATCCAATACTGATGAATACATAAAAAATATAATATAATCAATATACAGTACAGGTAGATCATACTTGTGTGATATTGCTTAGCTGAAAATGTGAAGTTTATGATGTTTACAGCTGGGGAAGAAAAAAACTCATAAATCAGTCTAAGTCTGTTTGCTGGTTTTACATTTTTTGGCCACTTTTCAGTCTGGGAGTCCAGCTGGCTGACTAAATGGGAGATGAAAAAGACCAGCCTAAACAAACTAAGACCTAAAAAATGACATGAATAAACATGTAGGTGAACAACAATATCAAACATGCTCTAAAGACAACTGTTGGGTGGAGGCACGCCAGTCAATGACCAGACGAATTTGGTCATTAAAAGGACAAATAATAATTGAAAACTACAGCACTACAAAATTTATTCAGAAAAGGTTCCAGCATTGACAGTGCCAATTCTTCTGCAAAAGCTGCCGTTCAATAACAAAAACAAATATATGCTATTAGCTTGTGCCTACAGCCTCACAGTAAGTCAACCTTTAAAAAGCTCCAGCCCTTTTACTGCCCTCCCGGCAGCTCGCCTGGGTAGGTTTACCCGATTTCAGTTTGTCAAACTGAATTGAGAAAGGAAGTCAATATTTGTGCTCTTTCTTGCAGTTAGCTGCCACGCGCCACAGTTCTCCAGCAGTCATGTTTAATGCGACTGCCAAATGGACACGCAGCTTATATACACAGTCACATATATCCCTAACAGACTATTCTGACCTTTTACTCTTCTTAATGCCTTTATAGATTTATTCCAATTGATAAAATAACACAGAGATTAATTCACTTGCTTTTCACACCATCTGGACACCTGCTGTCACAGTCCGGTCAAATGTATTTGTCATGCACACATGGTTTATTGGAAATTAGCACTTACTGCTGACAGGATTTGGGAAAGAAAGTGGCCCAGAGCTAATTCTTTTCTAATTGCGCAATACATTGATACACGATCGCCTGCTTCCTTAATGGCAACCTCCACTCCTGCTCTCATTACCGCGAAGAAAGTTAACTTTGGTCATTAAAGGACAGAGAGGGATAAAAACAAAGTACATTTACATTTACATTTAATCATTTAGCAGACACTTTAAGAGTGCCAGAAGGTCTTGACTGACTGCCTTTGTCCAGGCTGTAATAGTCTGTCTATTGTGACTAGGGGTGGAAGGGTTGGCGGAAAAAAATCGAACCATACGGTTCTCCACACACGGTTCAGCACGTGCTAGGACCGCGGTTCAACTTAAATCTGACAACGCATCTGTAATATGGTTTGCTATAAATAACACGTAAAACAGACAGGGTTCGGCTAATATATGTTTCTGTTGATGGATGCGCATTCTGGCTTCCCACTACATTACAACAACAACGATGAAAAGAAAAAAAAAACGTGGACAAACCATTCACTCTTGTTCTTTTTAGCAACATCATATGACCCCTTTAAAAATGTAAGAGCCAGAGGACGCGAGCTCGTGCGCGCAGTGATAAGATTTGTGCGTGCGCTCATCCGAAGCGCGCAAACCCGCGCCTCGTATAGTTTTTGCCTAAACATAGCACAAATACCGAACCATACCGAAACCGTGACTCTAAAACCGTGATGCAAACCGAACCGTGAGAAAGTTGAACCGTTCCACTCCTAACTGTGACGTAACAGAAAATACTGACAGAGGAAAGGGAACATCAAATAGTCCCGTCAAAGTGTTGGCACTGACTCATGATTAATCGAATCGCTTGTGAGGGCACACTGTAAAAGCATCAGCCTCTCTCTTTGGACGGCTCAGCCTGCCCAGTGCCTGTAATCTCGTCTCGGTAGTTCTCACTAATAAGGCTGCAACTCAGAAAACCACATTCTCGCTCTAAAACAGGGCAAAGCCCCATTCATACTTTCTGTTTAGGAAATCCCCAGTCGAACGCCAGCGAGGGCACTGAAACCGCATTCGGACAAGGGAAAAGGCATTGAAAGCGTTCCAAATCCTTAAGTCATAAACTCTTCTCGCTATACAACAGCATAACTTTGGCAGCTTTGTGGGCCGAGCCCTCGACGGGACACACGGAGGCCTGTGCAGAAGACAAAGAGCTGATTGAGCCAATGCGGCCTGTCTGGCCTTTAAAGCATGAGTCTTTCAACTCGACTTTCATTCCCCTCTCTCCTCCTCCTCCTCCTCCCTCCAAGAACCCTTCACACTGAATCAAACACTCAAAGTAGTCTTCTTGTCTTATTTTGCAGCTCTGTGGAATGCAGAATTGGATGGAGATTCACTGATTTGTCTATTCTCAGACACAGACCATCCAAATGTCAAATGTGCATTTGCGAGGGGAAAAACTCCATCCATCATAATGCCACAAAGCCAGCTGGCAGGGCATCTTGTTGTCGTTCTGGAACTAAACAGATTTTCACACTGCAAGCATGGCAGTGCGTAACCGGTTTAGCTCGTGTTTACTGCTCTGAGATCATACAAGCAAATGTGTGAATGCATAAATTAGAAGTGAAAATTAATGTGGGGCAGCCAACATGCAGAAACACAAAATAAAATAAAAAAACAGGAAATGATGTCATAGAGTAGTGGTTTTCGACCATTGTGACAAAATTCCAAATTTTCAGGTATTTTAACTGTAATCATGACAAAGATGCTTGTTTTTAAACTTTTTTATTAACAGACTTTGGATGTATTAATATAATAAATTAATTAAGCACAATTCATTTTGTTTTCAAAAACTGTATGTTCTTGAACAAAATCAACCGTTATTGAGGGGAGAAAAGGAATAATTATACATCTTTTAAGTATACATCTTGATTTTAGGTTACTTTAATATATTAGCATCGATTTATTAATTTAAATATTTAAGTCATTCTGTGGACCTCTTGGAACCCTCTAGAAAGGAAAGGGTTGAAATGGCTTGTGGTGTGACTTGTCAAAAAATGAATGATATTTATGAATTATTGTTAAATATTATTCTCAATATGATATAAATTGATACATTAATAAACATGATATCTGTTAAAAATGGTTTACATTTTGAAAATTACATTTTTAAATATTTGTACATAAATAATTAAGTCACCTTGAATAATATTCACATGTATTCATGAAAATGTTGTATTATTTTTTGCTTTGTTACACCACATGAGCCATTACATTGACATTAAATTGTATTATCTTAAAAATGGATACAAGTTTTTCCAAAACCATATGAAACCAACATGAATACAAAGACTACAATTCTAAATATTTGGCACAAACTAGATTCTCTCTTTCTTTTAGAACATTTTGTCTTTATCGTATACGCTCTTATATGTCACTGACATAACTCTAAGTACTTGGAAAATCCAACAGAGTAAAACAGGGTGTTACAAAATATGCAGCTAAGATTAAATGGTTCCATTGTTTGGAAGCAACCGTTTTGAAGATAAAGCAACATAACTGAAGCGTTCAGCTGAGAACACGACCTACTGTACTCATGCTGCCCAGGGCTCAAGATGTCCCAAGAGGACCGAGACATGAACAAAGAACAGCAGCATCAGGAACTGGAGTCAAAGTGTCACAGGAAAATCATTGTGCAAAGAGTGAATGGAACAAGAGGAGAGAGACAGGACGTGTGTGGAGGAGATTTTACTTCAAGGACAGTGGGGAAACAATTAAAGAACAAAACATAAGAAGGAAAGCAGAGGAGGACCTCAGATGATGCCAACCCTGAAACAACATACAGAACTACCACATTTTGCAATAAGTTTGATTGCATCATATAATAATTGCTGTTAATAGTGTTCATCGTCTGTTTGATTAAGTCTTAATTGATTTTTCTGTACATTTCTGCCATATGTACATTAACTGACAGTCACCACTAGGGGTGTAACGGTACACAAATATGACAGTTCCGTACGTACCTCGGTTTTAACGTCACGGTTCGGTATGATTTCGGTACACAGATTTTACATATAGTGACAGGTGCAAATTAGAAAGTTAGATGCATAAAAACAGCTATGATATACTGAACATTTATGAAATATGAGATTCAGTAAAAAATACCCCAGCTGGAGGAGTCACGGTTTAATTGACGCATGTTTTCTATTTTGAATGGCAGATTTGATTTGTGCGTGTTTAAGAGTCCCATTCCTCTGGCACAGCAGAACACTGACAGTGAACCACTGAGCCAGAGGCAACGCTGCATATGATCAACATCTGTGTATGAAGACACGGATCGCTGCGAGAATTCTCTCAGCCCGTTTTAAATGCCAGCTACAGTTATCTGGGTGGGATCCATTGTAGTTTGCAGGATATCCTCCACTCCAGCCAGTAACCACA